TGGATGGATGGATGGATGGATGGATGGATGGATGGATGGATGGATGGATGGATGGATGGATGGATGGATGGATGGATGGATGGATGGATGGATGGATGGATGGATGGATGGATGGATGGATGGATGGATGGATGGATGGATGGATGGATGGATGGATGGATGGATGGATGGATGGATGGATGGATGGATGGATGGATGGATGGATGGATGGATGGATGGATGGATGGATGGATGGATGGATGGATGGATGGATGGATGGATGGATGGATGGATGGATGGATGGATGGATGGATGGATGGATGGATGGATGGATGGATGGATGGATGGATGGATGGATGGATGGATGGATGGATGGATGGATGGATGGATGGATGGATGGATGGATGGATGGATGGATGGATGGATGGATGGATGGATGGATGGATGGATGGATGGATGGATGGATGGATGGATGGATGGATGGATGGATGGATGGATGGATGGATGGATGGATGGATGGATGGATGGATGGATGGATGGATGGATGGATGGATGGATGGATGGATGGATGGATGGATGGATGGATGGATGGATGGAAAGATAGATAGATAGATAGATAAATATGTAGGTAGGTACGTAGTTGGATAAATGCTAGTTAGTTCTACCTGTTGACAGCAAGGCTTTGCTGGTCGGAGGCCTAAGTGGAAAATCTTGGATGCGTTATACACTGGCTTCGAACTAATTGCGAGGTGGAAGATGATACCTTAGCGTAAAAATGGAAACAATTTTTCGCTTTGAAATTGATTGTTAGCCTTCTCTTGAGCGGACAAAAGTAGGTGTTAAGTAGGCCAATAGAACTGGTGGCAGGCGTGCAATTTTGTGGGAAACATTCCAGAGTACACCTCATAACATAAGGGAAATATAGGAACAATTAGGCTTGAGAAGCCTTCTGACAGAGACTGGGAGAGAGTCTCTCCAGATCTGAGAGTAGCACTTCAACGTCGGGAGTCCGAGTCGCGTGTGGAATAAACACGATTGTGCATGTTTGAAACACATGACGGAGGATATGATGTCTGAAAATGTCTAGTCCCGCTTGGCTTACGAACCAGGTTAGGAATACCATATCGAAGAACGCATTTGAGACCGGACCTGTGGAGCTCACCTGCTAAGATATCGGAGATGTCCAACACAACATTACGGACGGATTCGTCCAGCGCACCAGTTGCATCTTGAGGGACGGCCCTTGAGTTACTGATCAGAATTTTGTGAAAACTGAGCAAACATCCAGCGTTACAGAATACCGTCAAACATTCACTCTGACTAGAAGAATTTTCAAAAGAAAAAATATTTTGAGCAGAAAGTTCCCAGTTTGGGTTACTATGCATCAGGATACCTCAGCATCCAATCAATCCGGAAACAGTTCTGAGAAGGGCTGGCTAAGAAACCGGTATTCCGCGATTCTCAAACTCGACCGTGATTCTCAACGATTTTTTTCAAACTGCCACCAAACAACTGCTGTCTGGAAGTGTTCGCCAGTTTTGGTAAAAATCGACTCGGCGTTGACAGAAACAGTAAGAGAAAGGAGAAATTTCAACGAACTTTAGATAGGTATGACGGCATCTAGCTCGAATACTTGCGAAAGAAATGAGTTGGTTGGAAACTACTTACAAGGTTGCTGAAAATTCTTTGACAGCCCATGACCGGTTTCTGTCTTCTTGGGGCTCACTAGGTAGGCGCAGTCCCGGAGTTACGTCATGTTCAACTTGAATCCGAATTAGACTGTTTTCGAGAAATACACTCATTTGCAAACTGATTTGGATTTCACGAGAGAATCAACTGAATCTCCCGTTTATGATATTCTACAACTAAATGTGCTGCACACAGACCGTTTCATGTTTCAATTGGCATGATTATCAAGATATCGCAGTATATTCTCATAAATAAAACTACTCACAAGGTTGCTGAAAACTCTTCGACAGCCCACGACCGCGTGAAAACCAAACTGATTTGCAAAGAAGTGTATTTCTCGAGAACGAGTGGGTTGTTTCGAATTTAGGCAGTAAAACGAATTGCCCAGAATACTCCACGACTTCAATAAGTCCATGAAGCGAAATTCACGTATGGGGACAAAATCCGCACAAAATATACAGTAGACCATAATGCCTTTCAATAAAAATTTAATGACGATACATCTGATACGTTTCCAGAAAAAGATTTATTTTCATTGCCCTTGCGCATCTGAAGTAAATTGATCAGACTGACATTGGTAAGAACTTGATGAAGGCCACCTCGAATAGTCAGTGGTTGATTATAGGTCTGCCTGCATCTAAAGATGATTTATCAAAGTACCGACCGAGAACATATAAAAACGCGTTGACTGTTGCCATTAGAACGAAAAAATTTCGAATCACTTGGGGGAATTTGTGGTGTTCTGTGAACGACTTCTCAGATAATGGTAAGCGTTTTAATTATCGACGCGATAACAAACTTTGCACCCAGCTCGCATCCTACAGGAACACTCACAGGACAACAGACAGGGGATAGTCTTCCTGCACTTTAATTGTTCATCCTGGCTAGCCCGTCAGCCTTCGGTTACTATAGCAACCGGTAGAGAGTAAATGGATGAACACCAATCAACTGTCAGCGAAAGCAGGAAGGCGGACTGAATATTTTATTTGTCTCCTAACAGCCTTGATAGATACGGCAGTTCCGTCAAAACAACAACCCTTTCGAATCAGGTTGCTTTTTGGCCATATCTATTGTATACATCTGTGGGTCCGCGGCAGTCAACCCTCGGGGACAAAACCCTGGATATGAGAACGAAATTACTGGTAGATTTGCTCCTTCCATTATCACCATCAAATCCTAAACTGCAAGCAGCCTGTTCGTTGGCACATAAATGGTTCATGGTCTACTATCTGCTGGTTGAGCGACACCTTGTCGATTTGAGAGTGACACCCGTTTCTCCCAATTGTCCTCCGTCAGGATATAAAAGACTTCATGTTGGACGAAGACTACCTGTTGTTCTTGTGTCTAGACCAATATCTGTTCCAGTGCACCCTGTACTTCCCTACGCACGCCTGGCAGAATTAGAACCAGAGATTATTGCCGAATCGGAGGATGAAAGAGAGTCGCTGATGGAAAGATGGGCTGTTCCTGGATTTGTACCCGAAACTCTCTTTGCACCGTTGATCTGTGATCTCGTTTTGGGATTGAAATATTTGCTTTACCATGGATCGGACCGACGCTTACAGAACGGGTTAACCCAGCTAAACGAAATTTTATCTGGAGTAAGTAATTTGTGGTGTGATCAGAGTAAAGGGATTTCTAACAGAGTTTCAATCTTTCGACAGCATAGGTTGAGCCATTTTAATGTATCCAACTGTGTTAGTTAAAGGAAGGTTTACAGACGGTCAGCGCTTTCTTTTTGGCTTACTAAAAAATCATTTGGTAGCGTGAAAAGGGTCAGTTGTCCTACCACCAAAGGCAACGCGATGACGGATGTCAAGGTCTTTTGTGAGCATAGACTTGATTAATTTTGATTGATCACTGTGTCCTTTCTAAGTGCCAACATTTTTGCATCAGCGTTGCGCCATAAAACTCTGAAAGATGTCGGTTGACACATTAGTGGTTGGGATACGCCTCGCGATCGATGACGCAGGTTTCCAAGCTAGGACAATTTCACTAAATTTATCGGTCAACTGATACAATTAGCGAAGTAATTTAACAGATTGTCCAGTGCCCCTGGCCCACATATCGTGTGCGGGATCATTGGAAATATCTTTGACGAACAGATGGTTAGAACAGATCATTATGGCCTATGTAAGCGTCCATCAGAACATGTATCCCGCTACTCAACAAAGCGGACTGATCAGTCAAGCGAAACGACAGTTTTAAGCCCGGAAATCCGTCTCATTGGTTCGAGGCGCACGCCCAAGTCAAATTCTGTTCAGCTTCGCCTTCGGACGTTCTGTTCCCATCAATGTTCTTCGATATCAAACTGTTTTCTTGATAGAATACATAACTCATAAGATTGCGGGAAACTATTCAATAGCTCACGACTGGTTTCGCCTTTATTGAGACTCATCGGGCAAGCGCAGCCTAATCTTATATTTGAATGGAAATTTGGGGACCAAGTCTGCCTGATGAGCCTCAAGAAGTGTAGAACCGTTTGTTGTGAATACTTCATTAATAGCTTCCTCTACATGGATGTCAATAAGTCCTCCATGTATTGAAGTTTTAAATTTAAATTTTTAAAATTAAATTTATAACTTAAAATACGCTGGCGTACTGGCCTCTAATGACTAAGAGTATTCTTCACACGCACCTGATTCCACCAACTTTTCTAATCTACCTGTTATTACTATCGGCAATAAAACGTAAACTTTTGATAGTTAATATTTGTTTCCTCTGCCTGATTACTCCTTACCTACTTTTTCAAATGTTCTTCCCTGTATTCTGGTTGAGTTTACCTTCAAAGTTAGCCCTTATCAGTTCGATCGAAAGAGAGGAATGCGTGTTGAGTGGCAATCAATTTCCACATCCGCATCTAAACTCTGCCTAAATTTAGAATTTTACTCACTGGACAAACCAAGCGTAAACACTTTCCAGAAACACTGGAAATACTATTTTTCGACGGAAGACTTCTATATGTGGAAGTCACTCATCTATACGCCGGAATCGCTTGCGACTATTCACATGATGGTTGTTAAGCACCCCGATGAGCACTCTCTCCTGCTTTTCCAGAGTCAACTCCTTTGAGAAATCACCAAAGTCAGAAAGCATTCTTCCAGCTGACGATTGTTCCTGATACTTCCTTGTTTGAGCCGCTGCATGCCGAATTCATACACGAACGACAACAGTTTCTCGCCTCAACCCATTATTGTTCCGTTTTTTATTTGTGCTCAGTCTAGAAAGTGGGTAGATATTCACCTACCTTTAGTTTGTGCAAATCCACTGGTTTTAAACGAATAGAGAGATTGTTTTTTTAACAAAACGAAACCAAGATGAGCAGAAAAAGATGGCCTACTACTAGGACAGACACACAAAAAGCTGAGTCCGTGAAAGCCTAGGAGAGACCGCGCTGACCAGTTTAAGGCCTTTCTGTTAGTCCATAGTTAGCTGAATTTCGCCCAAGGTTGTCCTTCAGTTAAAAGATGGCCTAGAAGAGTCTATGTTTTTCGTAGGGTGGCCTCTTCACAGAAGGTTCACTGTGTAAGTCTTTTGTATTGTAGCATGAGGACATATCGTTTTTTAGGTAAGGGTTATCTATACTGGCGCTTCACTACTGTGTACGAAGGTTCGATAGATGCTTCTTTTAAAAATCCACCATCTAATCGAAAACAAAAACGGATTTTGATCATTCGCGATGCTTCGGAAACTCTGATAACAAACATTCTGAATGGAATAATTAAGTGATTCAATTTTTCTCGCAAGTTGAATATTAAGTGACGAAAACGTCCTGGTGTGGCGGTGGGTATTACTGATGAGGCATGCGAGTAGTATGTGGTTTTCTCGTAAATCCGCTTCGCGCCCATTGAAAATTGAGGTTTACTGCAGAATTTGTGGAATTGTTTTGTGGCATTCCTTTACGCTTGGTTACTAGTCAATGGGTATCCAGGAACGCTCAGGAAGACGCGTTCTGGAAGAAGACGGATACTCAGTTTTTATAAACAAAATGCATTCGAGAGTTTTGTTTCCCTGTCCAATAGTCTGTAACTGTTCAGTTCATGTTTCCCATAGTGACAAGAATGCCACTGACATCGGTTGGCAGCCATATCTTGCAGTGTTTCCAACCAGGCGGAGTAGTACCTAACCCGGAAGGCGAGTAGCACCGACAGTGCCCGAACGTTTCGTAATCTCCTTCATACCCCTCTGCCAGGTCAAGGGTTGACCACCTCTCTGCTTCCGCCACTTTGAATTAGGCATGAAAAACAGCACTCTCTTCGGCATTATTATTATTATCACTAGTTCATTACGGAGTAGCCTTGTAAGCCTTTTCTACTCTTCAATGCCTCTGGATATCAAAATGCATTGCTTTTTCTTGTTTCAGTTGGGCGTCGTTATCAAAACATTTCGAAAATATTTCGATAAAACGGACGCCTGGTTTACGCCACAGAGACTGATGGCTGAGGGTGTGGAAATCGCCAAGCATCACAGTTCAAATAGAGTAGAAGGCGTAGAACTGGGAAGCGTGTAGAGAACAATTTTATATCAGTCTAGCTGACACGTGATGGTGTACAGGTATCAAAAAGAGGAGTCATCAAAAGAAGTGGCTTGTAGCTGAAGTGTATGAACCAAACCGAACAAAGACTCCACTCAATCTTAACCACCCACTCTCATCTACAATTTCGTAGCTCTTAAAAGTCCACAGAGACCAACAAAGAACTTCCCAATGGTAACTGAGGTTCCCTGAACCGAAAGATCGAGAACCGAAACCAGTGAAAAATAATTTAAATTCCCCCAACCGCAAGATTTATGCAACCGGACTTAACGACAAGAACTTTCAACTATCAAGCAACATGGATTTGTTGTGCTAATCGGAAGAGGTCTTGCCTACTGTTTGTCTGTCTGCCATAAAACCTGGTCAACTGGATCACCCACTCACTTGACCTAACGAAGGCTTTGTGTCGAAAGTGAAACATCGCTCAGTTAGAAACCACAGATTACCTACCAAACGCTTCTGAGACGAAAAAGATGACGCCTATTCAAACTCCAAATAAAGAGTCCTGGTAGACTTTCTACACTACCTACACCAAGGTGTGGCCTGCTTCTCACTGTACTTACTGGTACCCACTAGAAATATGACTTGGCTGGATCTCATACGCTCGTGCGTGACCTGATATTTGGTAGAATTTAGTGAATTTCCCGAGGACGTCAGATGTCTCTTGGTTGAAATATTTTGCTCTTCCGTAGTACAACATAGCTTGGGCTATCATTTTATGCTGTTACATTTCAGAATAATAAAATATATTTTAAAAAACCTGCCCCCTCATTGTGTGGCCAAATTTGAACAGAACCACCGATTTTAGGGGCTCAGAAGGTAGCCACATGACTGACAAACAGTAAAAGATTCTGCTCAAGCGCTATGTATACAACTGAGGGGAGAGAATATTCGAGTTCTCCGTCGTCCTACAAGAAAAGGATCGGTTTTTTAATGCTTCATAAAGTTTGTAACCGTTTATAGCCGAAGTTGTTCTATTCTGAAGAGACCACCAAAATTGATTGTTGATCAGGTAGCTGTTGACCTGTTCGCTGAGCTTGGCAGTTAACTTGCAGACTTTTCGTCGCCATGCGAGGAGACTTCACCCCAGTTGGGTGAGTATTTCTCATTCGCCTGTATGCACTTATATAGCATTTGAGGATTGTCTGTTATTTCTTAAAGTGATGGAGACAGCGTCCTCAAGAATTTATCGATCCATTTGTTATCTCTGCGCGTTGTGGTTTGTGCCCCTTTGAGTCACTTCCATGCCTAAAATTTTCGGCAGTTTCCCCCTTTCCTTTGATTGGCCCTTTTCAATTCACACTGCGCTGTGATCTGAACTTCTCGAGTTTGTGTGGTTGATGGGTTGTACAGTCCTATTTTCCCCACTGGAATTGTATCCCTGCGTCCGCCGGTTAGCTTGGAACTTTGATTTATTGGCTGGGCATCTCCTGCAATCAACCGAATGTATCCGTTTGAATCGGTACCTTCTGCTTATTCTATGGGTTTTTGTCTGTTTTCTTGTGCAGTTTGAAGCTCTGTAGGTTTGGCATTATCTTGCTCTTATTGGTTGATAAGGTGTGTGACAAAACTGGAAAAATCTGGAACCGATTGAGAAGCCTTCGTTTCAGTCGGTAGTTCTTAAGTGGTTCTCCGTTTGCCTTAAAATCTGGCCAAATTGGCAACCCGCTCACTTGGTTTGATTAAGCTTTTATGAAAAAAGCGAAATGTTACCCACTTAAAAACTACCGGGGGTTACCAAGCCTTTTTGAAAAGAGTGATAAGGTGTTTGTAAGTCAACTACCAAACTCGGCAAACAGCTCAAACGCCTCCTGAACAACAACCAATAAACTCACCCAAGCTACCAAATTTCGACACATTACCAGACCACCAAAAATGTTCTCTTCTTAGATTACATCCGAATTAGGGGCATCGTAGAAGACTAAGTTAAAATACTCAAAGAACCTACATGCATAATTTACCCTTTATTGGGAAATGAAGGGCTTCTGAAATGGATTTTTGTTTCACCAGATGGAGACGTCTTCTCGAGACTGGACGAGCGACGACACCTCCTGCTTCTCGCCGCAGCTTTTCAGTCTCGGTTTTTTACTAGTACAGTAGAGACATCACCAAAACTCTGTTGGGTTCTTTCCTTTTACCAGCTGGGAACCTCAAGATTAATTTATTTAACTGTCCGCCAACGACTTCGTGATGAGCTGCCAGAACATTGAAATTCAACGTGTAATCTCTTCTGAGCAAATCAAATTTACAATAACTAGATTTTTTGCTGATGCAATCACAATTAGGAGAGCAGAAGTAGGCATCCATTTTGCTTGCCGGACACAAAGGAGCTGAACCTACTCATCAAACTGATGGACACAGATCAATAACTCATACTCATCTGTCAGTTATTTACAGACGGGGAACAAACAAATTTTTCTAATTAGCTGTGTGGAACTGGCGCAACACTGGAGGCTTCTGTCCTAAATCCGAGTTGGAAAACAGCAGAAATCACTCACACCCTGTCATAGTGACCTACAGGTATCTACGAAACAGTCTGAACTCAAAGTCCGTTGACCAATAGTCTAAGTATGAAACGCTCAATGAGAAGTGCTGGTATTTTAAAAACAATTTGACGTTATTGGAGAGTTCAGCTGGGGGAGGGGTATGTGACATGGACTATAAAGAGGCTCTGATATAAGATTCTCAAGTTCACAATGAACGAATAGTAAATCGGTAGGCGTGAGACCGTTGGTCCAAGTTTAACCCAGGTGTGTCTTTCAGCCTTCTCATTTCATGAGTTACTACGTTCAGTTTTATTCTTCATCAGACTGCGCTCAATTTTTTACATGGGTAGGTAACCTGACCAACTGAGGATTCAAACTAGGTCACATGAGGAGTAACTCATGGAGTTGATGGATCACTTTAATGAGCTTGACGGAGATCAAGCATTTTGGGCCACTCAGCCCCAGTCAAACAAGCTGTGTATTTGTGGTTCGTGTCCTCCACCCCCTTAGATATTTGATCGTTGGTGCCTAGTGTACTTGGTCTTATCTGTGTGACGATTCGGTCGTAATATGCGAATGCGCGCAGAGTCCAGTTTTCAACCTGCTTTGCGAAGACGACTCGCGGCTGATTTGAGTCAAATATCCATCAGAAAGGGCTTTGAATGATCAGCTGTTGCTTTCATCCAAAATCCCGAAAGAAGCACCATCGGGAATCTCACTCCGACAGCCAGATAATCTTCCATGAACGTCAAGAAACTGACCAATGAACTGGCTAATAAGGCTTCACAGGCAGTCCTTTTGAGGAAATGACAATCCGAAGACACTCTAACAATCAATGCGGTCATAAAAGCGTTGATCACTAGTCACATACATCCTTCTGAAGCGGCTGAAAACGGTCTTCTGCTTGATGTCACATACGGTGTTTCAGCTGTTCACATTTGCAGTTACACCCGGTGATTTCAGAAAGTGATATACTTTCCTATTAAATGGTAATTAACGCACACTAATATCTCTTACTGTGACTGCACGAAGCCGACCAAAACTGAACGATGAGGCAGGGTGTCGGCTTGGAGGGTGTTGCAATGAAGAATCCGTTCGTGGCGAGACATTTGTGTACTCATGAAATACGAACGTTCACTCTTCAAGTTTTGAAGGGAAACAGTGTTGATGGTGATATGTGGGCACTCTGATAATTGGAGTCGTAATGAAAATTGCAGGGAGCCAACCAAAAAATAAGCAACTTCAAATTTATCCACTCCACCTTTAAAGGTGTACTTTTTCCTCCTACAAACGGGTATATCTTTTCTGATAGTGTGGAGAGATTATGGAATTTTTATGAAGATTTCAGTCCGTAAGTGAAGCTAATCTGTGCCAACAGGTATTGTACAGTTGTTTCATCCTTCTTGGGAACCATCAGCAGTGAACATCTCATAAAATCATAAGACCCGCGACCTTCGGACCATTGGTTGAACACTTAAGCGTTCGGCCACGAGCGGCTGATCAGCAGTGTGATTAGTTCTCACTTAGGATTTATCGCGATTCATTCTTCAGTCACGGAATTTCACATCACGTGGTCACTTATTGACGGGTTCGTCGAGTGACGACCTCTCATAAAGAAGTTTCGCCCATCTCCCTCTGAGCTGCTTATTGGTTGATGATGATGTGAGGAAACTTGGTACTGTTCAGCAGAGATGGTGTACCAAAAGATGTAGCAATTCTAGCTGTGTGTAGTTTCCCTCGGCCACATTATCCACGTCTTTTGTAGTTTTTAGAGGCATCGAAGGGGATTACCTTTGGTGTTGCAGATCACACAGACCATGCTGTCATTGTCAAAAGTAACTGCGCTACTGTGGATGGTCGCATTACACAAAAGATTTGCGCACAATAAATTTATGTAACTCTCACACATAAGATGTAGCTAACGGACCACCGAACTACACGGTATTTACTACAGTATACAGATCAAGTAACCCCATAGCAATAGCTACAACGTTTCTCCTTCTACCTTAGGTTTAGAAGTCAGAGTTGATGATTCCAGGTACTCTTTTGGCCATAAAGTCCGCATTGCTCATTCACCATGGGTATGTACTTGAATTTGGTTTGTGTATTTTCACGAAATTCAAACCTCTTCATGATGCTTTGTCCTATGTATCATTATCACAGGGAGACGTCTGTGTCTAAGTCAAACCAGACGATGTGGAACCAGCCGGTAGTCGTTTCGTGCACTAAGTTTATGTCCATTGTACAGAGCATGTCAGCAGCATTACTGAAGAAGTCCTCATGTATGATGTGAGATAGCTTAGGCCTCCACTCATATTACCAACCAGTCTAGTTTTCATGTACCTAAAACCAGATGAAGGACTTTTGGCCTACTGTCTAGACGTAATTCACTACTCATAACGTTGCTGAAAACCCTTCGACACCCCACGACCGGCGTCGTCCCTCTTCGGGCTCGCAGCCCCCGAGTTTCCGTCAATCTTAGGTTCTGCTTGAACCCAAAGTGGAGAGATTTCGACAAATACTCCCCTTTACGTCAGAATCTGGTTTTCACAGGAAACTTTTGGGTTAGTTAGTACGTAAAGTAAGCTGGGATACAGAACCATCGATTGAAACCCACAGTGGACATAACTTTTATTGCTTCAAGGACGATGATTTCAAAGCAAATGGCCGAGGCAGGATTTGTTCGAACTAAGAAAATTGATCCAAAATGAAAGAAGTGATTCAATCATCTTGGACACGTGTTTCATGTACTTATCACCAGTGAACAGATTGTGGTTCGTATATAGAAATGGTGATGGTTTTAGGCGACGGTACACTTGAAAATTTCAACTCGGTCTGCGCAGTAGCACTCACCTATCCTACTCTCTCCTGGATGATAGAGAATGATAGCCATGCTATTTGATATACTTTGATAAAGTTCGTGACATTCGTGCATATTTCATATTCCAACTGAGCTATACTTCACCTGTTAATGAGCTGTTCAGTGTCACCTTCGGTATAAACCGCATTGGTGCAGAGGTTGAGCATACCTGACACAGTACCTATGTTCCTGTCAGGCAATTTCCTTTACTGAATGGGTTATATTACAATGTTACCCATACTCTGAGGCTCACACATAACATGGGTTCAGTTGAGTACTATTAACCTTTCTGGTGCGTTGATTACACGTTATTATCCATAATCAGTGAACGCTGATTCACCGTGAAAGAAGAACTGAGCTTTACGGATCAGAAAATAATTTCAAAAAAGACAAACCTCATTGAGCACACCCTGACATATCTTACCTCTTCGACTGCTGATCTAACAATTGTTGTTTCCTTTTTCAGAGTGGAAAGCACTTCCTCATTGCCGATCACCCGGTGTACATCGACTGTTCCCTTGCCCCGAAACTGCAACATCTCAGAGTTGCGGGTGCCTACTTTCGTGGCTTCCAGATCCCGGATACCTTGAAGTATGTGTGGATGTACCTGTCCCATATGTATAACCTGGAAGCATTTCGTGTCAGCTGTCCAACAGATAAAGACATTTTATTACATTACCTTGAACGCATTCCAGGTTTGGACCTGGCACAAATCGATACGCAAAAGAAACGTATCTTTCGTCTTCCCGATGCCTGTAGACTATTTACCTATCCGACTGGCATCGCTCATGAACCATCCGAGTTCCAGAATTCTGATGACTCGCGGACACCGAATCGGGGGTCACAAGACGCAGTGTCGCGATTGCAGAAATATCAGACACAAACAAATTTAAACTGTGAATTTCTGTATAAGAATTCGGATGACGCATCCTCGGCAGTGACTGTTGATGTGCGCGGTGTCAACAGTCCGATCGAGAGGACCAGTTCAAAACGGTTTAATTATTTGTACAGGCAAATTCCTCCATTCCGATACTGTAAGTCAAATACATAGACATACTGCGAGAACATGTATACTTGTCATTTAATCTTCCTGGAGAAAACTTAGAGACTTGTTCTTAGGTTCGCTTGGTAGAACGAGAGACCGGAGTTCAGATGAAACCTAAACCTGCCATCCGCCAGAGAAGCTGCTCGGAGCTGTCGAAGTTGTCGTACAACATGTGCTTCGGGGAATGAATGATAACACTGATATCAGAAGCGAATTGCATAGAATTTTGTAGCAGCACGCAGTTTCAATCCATAATCAAGCATTTAAAAAAATCTCAGTCGATACCTCGTAACGTCAGCCTGTACTTAAACGCTCAGGGTCATTACACAGCTGATTACTAACAGCGCATTGTTTTACGGATCTTTGAAAGGATTCGAAGCTCTCAGTTAATAAGAGAAGGAAAGGGGCTTCTTGGATTTTCCTCTTGGACTGACTTTAATTCCAGTATGGAGGCTCATTCGATACTTTAAGATTCCAAACTTAGTGTAATCGAAAATCGCCACGGAGCAGAAAACTTTCTTTTTAGGTTCCATCGTACATAAGAATTACAATAGGATATTGGACTAAGTGTGTACAGGAGGATCGCTGAGAAATGTCACGCTGTAGAAAAGTAGTTTTTCAACGAAAGATGACTCATGTTGTTGGAAGTTGGGTGGAGATTGAAGAGGCATCGAAATGAAGAGTTCAAGCCTATGCAGCCTGAATGAAAAGACATGGCCGTTGGACGAGTCAGAGCCCTTCAGGTGTCTGTTACGGGAGGATCACCAACAGTACTTTTTGGTGAAGTTCAGGTGCACAAGCGTATAGTTTGGCAGACTCTCAGATAAACAGCTTATAACGTTACCTCTCGCCGTGTACTAGGGCTCGAAAACAGGTTGCACAATTTAGCAATTATGAAGTGGACAGTACTAGGTGACAGTCACCTTCTCACCGTTGGATTCCTTTAGATCACAGAGGGTGACAACTGACCAACATAATAAGTGTGGTTTATATGGAAGAATTTGATTGGTCGGAATTAATATCCCGTGTACGACGATAGATTTGAAGGTGGCCAATCAGCATCGCAAATTGAAGGGGAAAAGTGGATCACAAGACCAACTTGGGACCATGGAAAAAGTCGTGGTAGATACAGATTACACAGAAATCACCCACAATATATGAAGAGTCATCATATTATTGATAGAGCAGTTGAATATATGATGTAGGGTTCATTCATTTGTAATACAAAAACGGGGATAATAGGAATTTTCTTTCAGAAAGGAACACTTTGACCACTTGTAATGGTTGGTCACTGCTACGTTGGGGAGCGTACTCTACAGAAATCAATAATTATCGAAAGAGCCTCCACTTGTAAGGTTGGTCACTGCTACGTTGGGGAGCGTACTCTACAGAAATCAATAATTATCGAAAGAGCCTCACTGTTTTAGGAAGTCACATTTATTGTTGGACTCGTTGGGAGGGTAGAATATAACTAAGGCTAGCAACGGCCTTATCTTCATTGAATTGTGTCCGTCAAAGTTGCTGAGCCATTCTTTGCTTCAAACCGCCTACAACTGGATCTCTTCAATTCGTTTGTTTTTCGCAAGCTTTTCGGAAGCTTAGTTACATCCGGGTGTTTGTGTTTGTCAAGGCATGGTGTATTTTATTGAACGACAAACCGTCCTCCTGGATAAGGGTATATACGGACAAGCCATTCTGACCAAAACAGCCTACATTCCATACTTACTTTACTTCAATTGCATCCGCAGCAGCTGTTTGGATATGTTTGTATTCGGGCCTAATCATCCGCTCGTGTATTTCAGACTTAGTCATTTACCAACCTCTGCGTTGGAGCCTTGTAAAACATCAGAGGCGAATACGTTCCCTGCTAGACCCTGACGTGGCAGATTTCCGTGTGCAACGCGCATTTTAGCAAGCTCCAAAGAATGTTTCTTGATGCAATCACCCTCAAATATAACTTTGTCGTCAGTACATTCGGGAGATCTCTTTGCCCCATATTGGCATGGTTGTATACGTGTACACCTGTCGGATGACCGACATGATAATCGATATCTACACCACATTCACCCACCTGTTTGTTCAACCGCTGCACATATCATTAGTGGTCTTTCATCGTTGTCGTTTGCCGATTCTAGTGTTTTCTTTCAAGTTTCCAAGTCCCTGCTAACCCGAGCATTGAAATCGTCCTATGGAAAGAGCGAGACATTTGAAGGTGAAGGTTCAACCTGGTCCGGCTATTGAGTGAGAACATAAAAGTTGATAAGTATGGCACACTTCGATCTCCCTGGTTGATCTAATACCCTCTGATTCATGTGATCTACACATGCGACACCATGTTCACGTCGGCTTTCTCGAGTTTATTCAGTGAAACTGAAGGTATAGTCAGAACCAGCCTTCCGTAGGTTATCTTGATCAGCCAGACTGGCCTCACAGATTACAGTGAACTCTATTCCGTGGCACGTGAGCTTCAAGAGGAATTCGCCTTTTTGGCCCATCACCTCCATCCTTATCCGGGATATTCCTCCAATTCGTAGAAAACGTGTCTTGATTCGCTTCAGAGTGCTGAATTGCTGCTGAATCTGTAAACAAGTGTTTAGTTGAGCACTCATTCTCAGTCTTTGACTTCAAGGTCTGATCTAGCCACTGCGAACAGCACGTGCCTCTTGATTTCAAGAAGTATTCCGAGGAGAATGAACAATGCGCCGGTGGCCACGGTCAGTTGTTTGGCGATTGAAACGCTAGGCTTTTAAGGCCGACCCATCCTAACCCGAATTCCTAGTGGTAAGGCGACATCGCTGATACCATAATTATGGAGATGTTGTTCACCAGAAAGAAAAGCTTCACTTTTCCCAGACCCCTGTCAAATCGAACAAAACCGTTTCATAGTACGACTTCTCGTGGAACGAGTTCGTTCTGTCGTTCATTGGGCTACTCCACGCTAGTCTTTCCGGGATCGTGAAACCTTAAGATACCATTGTCCAGTCAGTGAAACCCGCAGGATCATTGTAGCACTTGCAATGATCCTGCGGGTTTCACTGACTGGACAATGGTATCTTAAGGTTTTACGATCCTGGAAAGACCATTACCTTGGTCTGCCTGCTTCAATCAGTCGGAAAAACAGAGTTTTTTCTGGCGTCTTTGTTTGTAAACAAGACACATCACAAAATATTAGCTTTCATCTGAGGAAAGGGATAAACCTCCCAGAGTCTCTCTCAAAAGTAGCTGAAAGCTCCAAGTGAACGAATTTGTACGTCATGAAAAGTGATCTCTCTCAAAAAGGATCGATAATCACTGTCATTGCGGTTCACAGTTGCACGTTCGCATCATACAATATATTGATCGCATGAAATCTGAAAAAAAAGACAACCATTTTCGCACCCCCCTGGTATGGAAGTTGCCTTTGAAAAGTCTAATATCAGGATAACCATTTCAAACTAATGTTCCCACATTACTGTGAAGGATATTTCAAAATGGGCAATAAATCAAACAGGGGAAGACATAACAGCGAAGGAAATCGATCAATAATGCATGGGATTATGCGTTCGATATGCCACCAAACCACATTGGATAACAATTTGTCTGGAATCTCACGGAGATACACGAGAGATGGAAACTACAGACTAACAACACTGCCAGCACCAGTCCAGGCAGCCCACCATATGGTCCAGGCGTTGATCGCGAAACAATAGAGTTCAACAAACACCGCATCTAGTCTGGTTGCCCGGCAACCACTCTTGGGCTTCGCAAGAAACATGCCATCAGTCTGGTATTGTTTTCAAATGAGTATTCAAAACCGCAGAACAAGCCTCCCTATTATGTATTGTGTATTATTATATAGCCTGGTAGCAAAAGCAGGCCAGCTCGTGCTCATTCGTGTTGCTCATAGCAACAGGCTGGTTCAGCGATAGGGTGAGCTTCACACGTGTAATTGCTGTATCTTTCTGGAACCATGTAACCATGTGCTGGATGTAGCATACCCTACTCATAGGGTCGCTGAGAACTCTTCGACATCCATCATAAACGAGAGGTTCAGATAAAACTTGTGGTCCGACGGAAGCAACCCATCTGCCTTACTTAACTTCACGCACTATCTGCATTGGAATGGCACTTCTCAAGAATGAGCATTGCTCACCTGTTGGAAACCACTGACAAGGGAGTGCATGTATGACCCTCTTACAGTACTATCGTATTAGTCCATTCTTAGGAGTGGTTTTCAGTCTTCATTAAGACACCTGCTCGTCGACGACTGAACTACAAACATCATCCCTACGATTTTTGATAGTGTCGGACGGAGCTGTTAACACTTTGATCCCTCAGTCATGACCTTGTGCGGTTTCCATTGCAGACGACGTACAATGCAGACCACTTCCTCTCGGAGAAATTTACGGACGCTGCTGAATTAAGCTGAAACTTGGATGCTTTCCTGTTTCCGCATGATCATTCCCCGGGTCAGAGAGAATGAATGTAGCCGCCGTAGGAGACTTCGTTGAAAGTTTGCTGGACAAAGCTTGGGAAGACAACCAATGAAGGTTAAAAGCCCCCGTGTGGACCCAACCAGGTGTATAGAGCCCAAGAGAAAAACATAGTTTCAATGAATCGTATGGTATTTGCCACATGAAAGTATAACATCAAACTGGAAAGCTCAAACATACACCGTCGCCAAACGAACAATGCTTTATTTAAACAAACACAAGTCGGAAACAGTTTTACTGTCCAGGACCATGATGTACTTTGAAACCGTGGTTTCCTGTACGTCTCTCCGCCAGTTCAAGATCAACGCAGAACGGGGAGAAAGGTTTCGAAAAAGTAGGACCAATCTCCCCTAGATGAAAAGACCGTCCATGCTTTATTGTCCAACAATCCAATCCTGCTGAAATCGATAGACACGTACACAGCGTGACAAGGCCACATAAGAAACCGACATCATCATCACATGTGTGCTCACACCATAATGACTGTCTGAGGATAGATCGTCAAACAAACCAGCAAAGACAAAGTTTGGAATGCCCTTAGATCATATCGGCTTGATACAAGAACTGGAAGAGTGCTGGTCCCAAACGAACAGACAAACAGAAAGATTTTGCAGAGAGGTAATCGGTAGAGGCGTATTTTTAAACAACGTCTGTATCTGCTATTCAGTAGTATGTGAGAGGCGGTGATCACTAGGGTGATTCTAAGAGGGACTGGTTTTGACAAAACTATGATCGTGAAAAAAGGAAGATGGATAACAGTGATTGAAAGCCAGGCTTCAAAGTTATTGGTTTGGAAGCTTCCGAGTTAGCGGGGATCGTTTTTTATCGGTTTCACTAAAATGGTAATTGTGCATAGTCATGAGGAGTCAAACAGAAAGGAGGGATAGTTACAACAACGACCCCGCGGCTGTGAATGTGGTTCGAGGTGAGGAGGCGTCACAGCACGAAAAAATACAGTGGATGCGAATCGGGCAGTGCTGTGTGAGGCAGGGCGTTTAACTAAGACGCAGCAGAAAGCGGGAAGTTTAAAGTTGGTCTTGATTGCCCCGTTTGATTAGGGTGACGAATTCGTTATAGTCCAATTTGCCTTCCTTGATTGGAGCCTCTTTCCAAGTTTGACGAATCTGAAAAGTGGAAAGAAAACGGGTGCGTTCTGCTCACTTTCAGCCGATAAATGATCCCGGTAATCAGAAAACAGATCGAGTTGAAATCTGTTTAATAACTAAACAAATCGTAAATGCCATGACCTTGAAAATGCCAGTTACAAAAAGAGTATACCCTGTTTACACTTAGATTCGTTTCCACGTGATTAATCTTTGATCAGTAGAAACTGGTTAACAGGGCGAACCACTCGACCTTGACCGTATTCAGTTCACCGTGTGCCTTTGTTCTTCATCTGCTGAGTACTTCTCGTTGCTTGGTCTAAAGTCTATCGGAGATTGTCCTCAAAATCGTTTCAACTAGCAGTCTTGTTATATATAAGTTACATGTAAGTAGTGACCAAGAGAAGAGAGAATCCATCGCGTACAATCCTACTCTAAAACTATCCTACGCACTCCCCGTAACAGATTGAGTGGTGATTTCGTTCGTACGTACTTGTTACCGCTTGACTTCTAGTGCATCCTAAAGGATACAGAGCACACGTTTGTGTTGTTGTGTGATTTGTTAATATCACTAAAGTGTCATGCACGACACTGATGCCTCCCATGAATACAACTCATTGAAACCGGGTGGGAAACGGTTGATGTGTTAGCAGGCGACACCTTTAAGCCTTAGTCATGAAAATCTATGCACAGTCGGAGCACAACAATACGTCTGCCGGATATTCGCACTCCTTCTCTTCATTTAGTCTGGTAAATGAAGCACCATAAACGGGAGATTCAGGTGAGTTCCAGGTGAGTTGCCCGCAAAACCAAACTGATTTGCAAATGAGTGTATTTCACTAATTTGGGTTCGAGCAGAACGTAAGTTTGACGGTAAACCGGAGACTGCGCCTACCCTATGAGCACCAAGAAGGGCGAAACCGAGCGTAGGCTGTCGAAGGATTTTTAGCAACCTTATGAGTAGTGTAATACGTCCATACTCGTATCGCAATATCTCGAATATCGTACCAACTGAAACATGAGGCGGTCTGGTGCGACGCATTCAGTTGCTTAAAAACATCATAAATGAGTGATTCATCTGGGTTCCAGGTGAGTCTCCCGGAAAACCAAATTGGTTTGCAAATGAGTGTTTCTCGCTGAAGGAGATTAACTTGAAAACGGTGATATCAGGGAAACCAGAACAGTTTCCAATGGAATTTGGTGGTAAATTGAGGAGGAAATTATCGTAGATGCAGATTTGTCTGAGTAAGTTCAAAATTTATTCGCAGCTGGCGCGAATAAACAGTTTAGTTGAATGTGCAGCAACAATCTGAATGACCACTCGTTGCCGAAAACGCGTTCATTGGGGGCTAATATCAGCCAATGAATTTGATGCGGATATAGGTACCGTCTAGCTGCACCATACTTACAGAGTCAGAATAATGATGAGCCAGTTTTGTGAACGTGCTTACTGTCAACGACACATCTCATCGTAAACAGCCCAATTGTAGGTTCACTTTGACTTGGTGCCGCCGGATACCACAGACACACATAGCCAACGAAAGGAACCAAGCCAATAAGGTCACCCCTAACAGCCGATTAAACACTATGAGGCCTCATCGTTTCAGTTGGTTGTCAAAGAAGGTTCCTACTGTGCTTAAGTAGTTCGTTTTACCGTTTCCTTCGATCGATACATAACGAAGCAATTTACTAACCAAAGTAAGCCTGATTCAAAGAAATGATGGGTACCAGTTCTCCCTTATCCACCTTCATTGTGCGAATTATCTTCCCGCCATTTTGCAGCGACTGAGAAAAATGATGGGCTGATAGGCACTTCCGGGCAAGGACCATGCCTGGCAAGGACAATGTTCGATACCACAGCCAAACTCATGATCATAGGATCAAATGAATAGATGTCCAGACAGCTATGAGCCTGATTACTCAGTCCATTAGTGGAGTGAAACAATTCACTTTGGATCACAGTGAAGAACCAAACTACTTGAAAGTGGCTAGTTAGAAAATTTAAGGTCGTCCCTAACCGAGTGTTGTTTTATGGTGGTGCAGCGGACAACGCAATTCTCTAGAGAAAATAAATGCCGAGTCAGTACTTTTTTCCTAGGACGTTAATGGACTGAGTGAACACGTGACATTTCTAACAACGGTCACCCGGACGGAGGTGGACTGGAAAAAACGTGAATATGCATCCGTGCCCATGGGACTATCGCTCAGTACCTTTACGAACGAGTCTCGAACAGATAGCCTCAGGATCGCACCTAGCCAGCAAAACTTGTTCTGGGTGATTTGCTTTCAAAAAAGGCTCACATGTCTAGTAAGTTACTCACGGTGATTGAGGCGTAAACAGGCGAGAGAAAAACACACCGTTGTCCGAATAAAGAGAGGGATTATATGTAGGTAGGCTGTGCTTACCTGATGAGTCCCGGGAATGGTGAAACCAGCCGCGGGTTATCAAAGAGTTTCGAGCAAGCTAATGAGGAACATATGACCTCTAATTATAGTTCAAGTGGCAATGTGTCCAAATGCTGGTAGCTCAGGTGAGTGTGGTAGCTACTGAACCCGCACGGGCCAACAAGAGGACTACTTCACCAATGTGCCCCAAATTGAAAGAGCAAGGCCTCGATTCCCCCCAAACCATATGTCGTAGGTGCTCGTTGTTCACACTAACCAGAAATTTGAAAGAGACCTTATTGATTGATTGTCATCCTACCTAATACCTGTTAATCTGTTAGCCTACTCAACTAGCCTCACGAAACTTTGTCAGAAGCAAAACATCGCTCAGTAATAACTCCACCGATAGCCCGTCAAACCTGTTTGAGCTGAAACAGGACTACTTTAAATAGTACCTAGTTTCTTCCTACCAACTTAGGCAAACCTGCAACAAAATAATCAAAAATGATAAAGTTCCAACCCAACATCAATGAACTTACTTCTTCCGCGCTGAAATTGTCGCCCATATTCTGTAGGAGGTCCTTAATACTAGGAAAAATAGTGAGTTGTATTCACAGGTTAGCAGTGCTTACTATTCCTCCTCCAAGTATCGTTTGTTGCCGGGGTCGAACATTGCGAATGCATTTCGTAACGCGTCCTCAGGATCCGTACCTTTAAAAATAAACGAAATTATAACTTCATCCTCATACGTATCGAGATTCATGATGCCACAAATTTATGAAAACAAACAGAGTTCACTTACCGTTCAGCTTCTCACCGAACAGATTGATGAACATTGTGAAGTTGAGTGGACCAGGGGATTCATCAAGCATTTCTTTGAGTTCCGCGTCACTTGGGGTTCGACCTAGAAACAAGCAGTGTTATGCCTAGAAAACAAACCGGCAGATGAAACACGTACCCAAGGATGCGTACATATCCTTCAGATCTTCAATATCAATGAATCCATCCCGGTTTTGATCAATAAGAGTGAAGGCCTGTCATACGATGGTAATTTATGTTCAACGTAGGACTGACCTCTTTGAATTCTTGGATTTGATTCTGTGGAAACATGCCAAAGACATTGGACGTGGCTCTTTGGGCACGTTTTCCTCCCCCGCCTGATTCCTTTTTCTCCTCTGCTGGGGCTGCAGCATCGGCTGGCGCTTCTTCCTTGTGCTCCTTTTCCTTCTTTTCCTTCTTTTCCTTTTTCTCCTTCTTTTCTTTCTTCTACAATGCCAAAAAATGACAGTAGAACATGAGGCTACAAAACTGTGATTAGGTGCTGTGTGTTTCTCAGAGCAGCGATAGTGTTATCACTAGTATGCACCACTAAACGTGGCGCTTCTTCCTTGTGCTCCTTTTCCTTCTTTTCCTTCTTTTCCTTTTTCTCCTTCTTTTCTTTCTTCTACAATGCCAAAAAATGACAGTAGAACATGAGGCTACAAAACTGTGATTAGGTGCTGTGTGTTTCCTCAGAGCAGGATAGTGTTATCACTAGTATGCACCACTAAACGTAGTGTGGAGCGTTGTGGAATGCATGTTCCGGATGTTTGACCGCTTTCTCTACTGGGTCGCAAACGAAACCGGGGTATTTTCGAGAAGTCGGTGTGTTTGTTTCGGGCCCCTGAGATCCCAGTTTTTTGGTGAAACTGCTGTCGTTTCGAGGGTTCACGTGACTGATGTGCTCACGGTCCAGATAGAGGACATGGTTTTTATTGGTCAGGTGCACTCAGAGTCACAGGTTCACATGTTTTTTCTTCATGTGCCTATTGAAAACGTCCAAGACGCACCACCGTCGAGGAGAGATGTCAGCATAACAAGTTTTTTCATTGTACTCATTCCGTTAGGTGAAATTTCACACAAAGGGTAGTTGTTAGTTCGTAGGATAACTGACTTATCTTTGAAGAGGAGACATTGTAAAAACCCTTACTGAATTTAGCGAACGAATTTTACAACTGAACTATACCACAACATTTGTGGACTTCATCTGTCTTTGTTCTATGGACTACTTTCTCAGGAGTTTGGAATATGTCACACGCGGATGCTGGATTGAAGCAAATGCAATTAATGAGCTTGCGATATCAGAAGATAATGAAAGCCAATTGTTCAGCTCTAACACCCTTTCGGTACCTAGTCACCGTGCCACCCGAGGGAAGCACGGGGGTTGGGATACTGCCAGGTTGCCCAAGCCTAGACAGGGGGATTCGAGAGACAGAGGTCAGGTTTGAAACACGGAACTTCTGGTTAGTAAATTCGCGCTCTAACCATTGAGCCAAAGCCCCGTGCCACAATTTTTTTCACATTATATAGTCACATCTACTCATTATGTCACTGTCTTTCGAGCGAAAATGTGACGCTCATGCCCCTATCGACATAACAGACAAGAGACTGTAATGGAGACTCATCAGCTCAATACTGTTCCGGTAATAGTATGCAAGATCGATCAATATCCGGATCGCTTCACCATGCCATATTAAAGCCAAAAGAAGCATCTATCAGTAGGCATCTATCAGTAGCGGCATTTTTTTGTCCACGCGGAGCATGCGTTGAAGTTGGCCCCACGGGAAAATCTCTCAGGACTGGACTTTCTGACTTTCACCGCAGAATTCCTCTCCTTCAACAAATTCCAAGGCAAGAGATCGAGTTTGGATTTTCTTGGGCACCGTAATTTCGAATGCACTTCATTGTTCTTGTTCGTCAGATTTCGGTACGGGTAGAAGTTTGCACGTTCTTAAACACTTACACACAGTAGACTGACATCCGTTTCCGGATAGACATCATCGCCAGCGGCCTGTGTTAGGTCACAGGCAGGTCCATTTGCTACACAGATAACAGTTCGAAGACCACTGGCGTACTTACTGGAGAGTCGATGGTTAACGAACAGCTCAGTTGCATGGCCCATTCAAAGGCAAAACTGCTAACCCTCACTTGAGGCATACGATCAACCACGTCAAGCCTGTGGTCCATTTCATACGGTGAACACAGCAATCCGTAAGCACACTGCGTTCACGCAGATAAGCTACGATGAATGCCTTGGATTGTGAGTGGCATCTTCACGGGGTAAATAACAAGGGCACAGCGACGTTTTCCTAGCTTCTATGTGGTTATCTTGCACCATTCTGGGACACAGCTTTCCAACTGACAAAACGAATGGCTTATTTTCATCAGTTTACGCAGTGCGACCAATGATCGTTAAGGCATCTCACACCAGGATTGGTAAGAAGGATTCACTGGAATGCTTAATTCAATGCAGCTCTGGAAAGTGCCTTGGTTTTCCGTTAATCAATGTAGCTATTACGAGTTTGGGGCATGCTTTGAATTCCTTAGGAGCACTCATCAGTATGTGAAAGATGAAGGCAACCATGTTGCCATAAATCAATACATCACGTGCCGTAGTCAAGTCCGGAAAACCGAATGCTCGGTTATTTAGATACAGTGCATTAAATTCAAGTCCCATTACACGTGACCGGTAAGCATGAGTTGTTGCGGTGCCCTCTCTAACAAGTTAAACCTCCAAGATGGGACAAGAAATGTTTGTCATTGAAATTTTTGTTGCAATAAGGAGTAATCTCACTCAGTCAAGGCCAAACAACGAATCAAATTTCACTTTTTACACCTCGATTCCAATTACTTTCTTTTGTTAGTAGCTTGTGATGACTAGTTGAAATAATACACCAAAGGTTCCGTCCTGTTTCAGGCGCACTAGGTGGGCGTGGTTTCCAAACTCCAGTTGGTGCTATTTTCTGGGTTAAGCAACATCCTGGACGTTTGCGTGAACTTGTCGAATTGCAACTAATTTGGACTTTCTGGTGTTCTTATCTCCATGTCAGAATAAATCTCCATCGTTTTCTCATTTCCCTATCGCTGAAATTTGGGCAGCAACCCAACATCCGCCAAGGGGCTTTGACAATGACTGTTGGATCAGCAAATTTATTGGACTGGTAAACAGGGGGACAAACGACTTTCATTGCTGTCCGGTGAAGAATTAAGGTCCAACCTCTGGGAAAATCGAACGACTCGTTCTTGTGCTAGGTTGCCGGGTCTATGCTTCTGCAGGTTACTTGAGGAGTCATTCCATAAAGACCAACTTTCAGAAATGTTTTCGTTTTGTGTGCTTGTATGTGTTTCTTTCGTTCGATGATGTCCGACCCGGGGTCCTATATTTCCATGTACACCACTTTGTGTCCAATAAATTGAGAATTTACAAGTATAAACGTCACCTAGACAGCAGGTACCACATGCTCTCAATCAGACTTGCGATTGAATTCTTTAACTCAGCCAGATGGAAGATTCATAAACATGGGACTGGAGGTGAACACTGCGCATATAAACCAACCCCTCGCGTACTGACTTTATTGTCTCTAATTGGAGTTATTGGTTTGTCGGTTATTAGCATCTTCTGATATCCATATTGGAAACTGAAAACGGCAATTCTTCATAAACTAAAGTAACGTGATCCCTGGATCTTTGTGCACGGGTGGAATACGATCACTATTAAACCATGAGATACGGAAACAAAGAGATCTGGCGATAATATCATGACAAAGTCAATATACGTCACAAAGTGGCTGATCGCAAAGAAGACTTACTTCGTCACCCATGGCCGAACTGTTTGCCTTCTGATGAACCGAACGTAGGATGCGGACGGTACGATATAAGCAGAACAACTGCGACCGTGAACTGTTACAGCGTAATAAAGACAGAAGAAGTTGTGGGCATGGTGGTTGGGTGTGTATATGCGCGTGGGTAAGCAGGTAACAGGGGTGGACGCACACTTACCGATTCCTTCGTAACCTGGTTTAAGGTAGATTACTGGGTACAGGCTTACATTCTTGTGACCCTCCAACACACCTGGTTTCTTATTGGTTCTTTTCAAAACGCGGTCTCCGACAGGCGCAAGCAGTCTCCTGGTTGCACTTCGTGTTTTCTGGTGCAGAATTACCCGATCAATGCGCAGAGTTATCACCCCTTGCATTTTTGTGTGGGGAAAAAATTGGCATCGATGGATCGATAATGTTGTGTGGGGATGCAAAGTGGTCGATTTTAGCGGTGAAGTGTTGATGTCCTGCAGTGCACGGGATTGACTGAAAAACTCGTCAAACAGCACACTGGAAAAGGTGATTCGTGAGAGTAAACGACCCCAAAAATCAGGAAAACTTGGATGAGCGAACAATATGGTACAAACAACCCGCTGGATTCGTGTTGAAAACTGTTCCATCAGAAAGGAGCCATTTTAAAAAGAATTAGCACAGAGCAGTAAAGCATAGTGTGACTCCGTAACTTCGTAAATTTTCTGTATGAAAATTAATTCAATTTGAAAACCATCCACAGTCCTTCTATCTTTTGTCTCGTCTTAAACAAGACATTACCATGTGTCTAGTCTCTTTGAGAATTGAAACAATAAGATGCTCTGGTCTACATGTGAAAATGAATGAATATCGGATTTTCACAACAAGAACAATCGAACTGGGCTGCCCATCTTCATAGTTGCTCGAATCTTATCAGGCCATATTCCCTTGTTTCAACGAATAATCTTGATATTTCAGCGAAGCATGTCACACAGCGTGCAAATATGTCTCGCTACCAGCCATCCGCTGAATCTTGACTGGCTGTAACACCATTTCGGTGTCTAACTGCCATGCTACCCGAAGGAAGCACGAGGGCTAGGATACTGCCAGGTTGCCCAAGCTTAGACAGAGGAAGTCGAAAGGTAGAGGTCGGGTTGGAACCACAGACCTTCCGGTCAGTAACTTCGCGCTCTAACTACTTGTTGCATCAATCTTCATTGGAGCAGTTGCTGTTATCATCTGAACTGACCATGCTCACCTGGGGATAAGAAATGTTTACTTTGCAGGTTAGTCACTGGTCGAGAGTACAGGGTCAGTCTGACTATCTCAGTCGCGGATCCTTTCGGTGTTTGCTGTTTCAGGTGCCTTTCGAAACACAACTAGTGATGACAGATTAAGCCGCCCGTTCGCCTTAAACGGGTGAATTTCGTCTTTCGTGTGGCTCATGAAACAGTTAAAAACCTAATCGCAACTGTGGTTCCACTAGAAGGCACTGTAGCAGAATCGCTGAATTTTTCGAGGAGCGTGTAACAAAGAGCAATGAATTCGCTGTGCTTTATGATTTGGAGCGGCTTTGGAGCCGGACCAATCAACCCCGAGCCACTCTTCCGTAATAACTACAGTTAGCAAGCAGGTTTGTTTTAGGCGGTCCAGTTGCTTCGGGCTCGAGGCCAAGGCGTGACAGATGGCTACCTGGAAAAGTCGGCAGAATATACAGTCTGGTTCAGTCAGGTACCGTCTGGTGCCGTGTGTCGTCTTGATCACAACCCACCAACCCATCTTCCATCAAATGGAAGTCAGTCCGCAGTGTTCTGTTTTGGCGCAGAATTGACATGATGCGTTGAAATTAGGGTGCATTCGATCCACCCTAATGTAGGTAGATCATCCAGCTGTCTAAGGACAGTAACATTTCAAATCCGAGTGTAGTCTGTGTGATTCTAAATAGAGTTTATACAGGACCAGGGGGCCTTTCTTTCCGTACAGAACAGTCTACAGGGTACACAGTGTTAATTGTACAATTCATGGTCGTACATTGGCTGTGATACTCCCAGAGCACCGACACTTATACAAGAGGATGATTAGGGTCCTCAACCAAACGCTTTTGCTCAAAAGTTTAACCACGCGGCAGCGCTGGTCGGCGTATAACTGTCAGAGCAGTCTAGATTTTCGAGGGGCAAGTAGCCATACATATTCCAATCCCCAAACTGGGAGGTCTGGAGATTGTGTTATTCAGAACTCTACTCATTGACCAGTTTGTTACGAGAGGTTCCGTGAGTGTCAAATATACACTCCCCAGTATGACATTGGGTTATACCTGATACACAAGCCAGCACACCGCGGCGAATTCCAGTTTATTCGTGATGGGGTAGACACTGAATGGGTGTTCACTGGTACTGTGATGGTTGTGGCTAGAGGAAAAAAGCTTGCATTATTTGTGGAAAACAGTTGAACAGTTGAAGTTGCTTTGAAGCTGTTTGTATTCACTAGAAACAATAAACTGATAGAATAGTCAGTAGGAGTCCACTCTTCCAAGACAATCACGGTTAGGTTGGACAGCATAAATGCCCGGTAATCTTTCGTAATAAAAATACGACCTTGTTCGCAGTTCGAATTTTCTTCTCCTATCATCCAATGAATCTAGGTAGCACCACACTGACATTGCGAAGCCATGAATGGGACAACCATAAAACGATTGTTAATAATACAGCTCCGTAGTGAGCAGTTTAGGGGTAAATACAGAGCGGTGAATGAAATCCACAATATGGACGACCAGTAACGGTCGTTGGCTTTACATATTCGTCAATCCATTCTTTTAGTCTTACCACTTCACTGACTGTTTGAAACAGGATCACCGACTCTCCCAGGACTCATTCACAGCAATGATTTGAACAGAAATTATTACATGGATAGAGAACTCCTTTAGGTCATCTTATGATTCACCTAGATAAACAAGGTAGTGACATTCAACGACAACAGGTCGGTCTTCTGCTTCCCCCGTGCATGTCAACGGTATCCAGATCCAACTTATCTGATCTATTGCTTATACAGAGCTGCCAAGTAGCGTGGGCATTTTGAAGTTCTTTTCACAATAGCACTTCTTAGATCATAGGTTCGAATCTCACAATTTACTGAAGCCATCTGACCATAATGAGATGACTACTGACAACCTGGTGGAGCACATTACTCATCTAGCGACAGAATTCCGGTCCCAGTTGACCTTTTATGCATTCGAAATAGCGTGAAGTGATTTGTTGCACTTATGCTTCTGAAGTGGTTTCCTCAGCAGTCCAGTTGTTACAGCGGTAAACGGAACCTCAGTCCCTTTCTAAAACTCTACATCAAAGGTCTTTGGATATCTGGGTGATATCAACTTATGGACTGCGAGCTCACTAGTGACGCTGACCGATATCACCAGTTCTGATGGAGATTCCGTCCTAAGAGTGAAGCCACTCAAAGCTGAAAATCCCAGAAGCACTGTAGTTGTTTCATCTACTCTGGGAACCAACAGCAGTGCCGTCACCAGTAGGGAGTTTTGAACTCCCCAATTAGAACATAGCACCACTTGTCCTTCAACCACGGAAACCACATAATATGGTCACTTATTGAAAGTCGCGAATTCGAGTTTCATGAGATGTGCACTGCTGATGACTCCGAACAAGAATGAAACTGCTATACACTGCTTCTCGGCTTTTAAGCATAGATCGATTTTACCCACAGGATGGAATCTCAATAGAAAATCAACAGTTCTCCTTACACCCCCAACTGCCTTATTACTTCTTAATGGATTGTTGAACTCAGTGCCAAAAGCGGAATAACACACAATCTTGGTGAACGTTCGAAAACACCAGCACAACAATAAGGAGTGTCAAGATTCAGCGAAAGGTTCTTTTATGACTTTTCTGAATGACGCCAGTAGGCAATGACATAATAAGGGAGCGGTTTGTGAGGGCAGGTTTCTTCTGCAATAAGATAACTGGACAATATCAGATAATTCTATTCTGTTTCCGAAATAGAGCTGATATTTTGAACTGTAGTCTCTTGTGCTTAAAAATTCCGCACGGATACGAAGAGAAAAGTGACGTTCAACATGGTGAAATCGTTTTTTGAACGTTAGCAATAGATATGGATCATTTTATCAAGATTTTTCTTCTATTCGAGGAGTGAAATTCCCAGAGTTTCGACAATCCATTTTGATGTTCACAAACAGCATCTCGTCCCCGAACATTTGACTTGGAAGTATAATGTACAAGGTTGGTTGTTACTAGAGCTGAGTCATGTCATGGACGAATGGATAGTTTGTCAAATCAACAAATAAAGCGGTGAGCACCATTTCAATCTTATGCCACACAATGATTTGCGTTGGCAGTTCAGAGACACTTCGCATCGCTATTCGACAAAATCTTTCGATTCTTTGAGAGGCACAGAGATTTGGGCTGCAGTAGCAAGTTGAATAGAGGAATAGTTAGTCGGAAGCTTGATGGAGAGAACCGGCAACGGCATACCTAAACAGTGTCTTACTGATAACGACCTTCGTCAACATAACTAACATCAGAGAGAAACCTCTGCCAGCTTTTACCTTTAGAATAGACTACACCATCAAAAGATGAAATTCCGGATCGAACTCACAACAACTGGGGATCTCTGGTGGTCCTGATCCAGCTCAGGGGTTTGTGATCGGTCTCGACGTGAAATCTTTGTCCAAGCAGTTATGGCTTCCAATTATCCAGGGCCAAGACGATCGCCAAACATTCCTTCTCAATGGTTGAGTACTTCTGCTCAACGTTAGTCATGACACGGCTGACATATTCGATGACTCTATTCCTTTACTTTAGGAATGTACTGATACCGCAGTCGTTAGCGTCCGGTGCAAAAACAAACATCTCTTCGACCCTGGACTTTTTTAAAATCAGTTACCGATCCAGCATCCGCGCTTCGATACTTTCGAAAACCTCATGTGCTTTCCTGGTCCATTTGGATTTCCAGTTTTACCCAGGCAATTCGTACAGTGGAGCAGCAATCGTGTTGAAATCCTTGACACACCGGCTTTCGCATGCTGCTCGTCCGAGAAAATGCCGAATGAACCGCTTTGAAATGATAATAGCACAAGCCTCGATCTTTGCCAGTTTTTCTGGCAGTAGGATAGCCTCTCCGTGACCCACTTTATGCCCCAGTGGTGTCACTGAACTCCAAGCGATCTTTGCCTTGGTTTCATTTATCCGCAGGCCAGCCTCCCGGATACACTTCACTACAGCCTTCAAGTGAACTGCGTGCTCTGGTTACGAATTGCTGTACACAACGATATCGTCTCCGTACACGGCAACATTCCATAGTCCCCTCGTTAAACGAAGCATCAAGTGCCCCTGACAAACCAAAAAGCATCCGTCTAAAGGGATATTGGCTGTCCCCAAATGTGAACGTTCTTCTTCTCCTGGTCCTCCGCCTTGACAAATAGTTGCTAGTATCCGGAACGCAAGTTAAACACCGTGAAATATCGGGTATGCTGCAGGAAATAAAAAATCTCTGCAACCAAAGGCGCAGATACAACCCGATTTACGGTCAGTTCATTCAAGCGCCTTCCTTACAAGCACAACCGGGGAGTTGTACGCACTATTGGCTTCCTCGATTATGCCACTTTTCAGCATATCTTGAGCTTCCTTATAGACCTCGTCTTGTAGATAGAGCAGCAGCGGACGGGGGCCATAAGGTTGAAACCATTCGTGTAGCAGAAGCCAGACGAATCTTCGCCCGGGAACAGTTTGGAATATTCCACGACCACGGGCTGTACAGCTCGCTCAAGGCAGTGCTTGGGTAACCTTCAAGCTTGACTGCGCCATACGTTGTCACCAGTTTTCCTTGCTTTAAGTCAATCATGAATTCTCAGAAAATCTGTTCCCAAGATTGTCTGCTCTAGTCTGGGCTGATCAATAACTCGCGTTTCACGGGCCTGACGCCCAGTCGCATGGGGCGCATCGACAGTCTGTCATTTTTCATCCGGTACCAACCTACTATCGCTATGCCTGCCGCGCATGGTTTGCATTCAGCTTCGTTCCCTCTCCGCCTCGGAGATACCCTCGCCCTTGTATCAGTTAGGCACAGCTCCCTCATCCCGCCTATCTCGATAACGGCCTGTATGATAGCCTATGTGACTGCACTAATCACAACCCACCCGGGGAAAGATGAGTAATCCACAGTTTTATTATTTACAGGTAAGACGACGTTGATTCTTCCAGTGGTCATGCCTGCACACACTTGCAGCATCGGCTTGTTTGAGCATGTCTCCAAGTGTGGCACTCGTACTCGACGCCTTGTAAATAGTAAAAATTTGAACTATTGCTGATAATCTAGTGGTTAGGACATTGGGTTTGGCCGAGGCATCTTCACCCTCATCCTGGCGACGGCGACAAATGTAAGAGTCGCTTATTAGAAAACACCAGCTAAACGATTTCAAACTATTGGATAGGGAAGTGAACATATGCACCTTATTTTTAAAAACTGAACATCCTCACAGTCTTTTTTTTACTTTCTTCTGACTATCACGCAATTGTAAACGAACGCTGCAAAGCGTTTCCGCAGTTTCTGTGATAACCCTCATAGGGGCACACCTTCCATTGGACGCGAGGCGGAGTTAGAAGAAAACCACATTCTATTGGCATGCCTTATGAGTAGTATACGCCGTTACACCAGTACCGCCCACATGGACGTGGAACAGAAGACAAGTATCGACAAATGCTCTCTTTTGCATACAGATATGGGTCTTGGACAGGACAGTCAACCGAATCCAGCTGAATCTCTCGTTCATGATGGTCCAATTCAGCAACCTTATGAGCAGCGTGTTTCCGCCAAACAGTTCGCAGGTACTTTCGTCGACCTTGTAACAGATTATTCTTGCTAGTAGCTTTGTTGTATCAAGAGCATTCTTTTCTATCACTTCCGAGGTGTAGTGGAATTCCGCTTCCCCGATCGATCATCGAAGTGTCATCATCTCTGTCGGAATTGCTGCATGCGGGGCAGAAACACACAACGTGCTGACAGGCAAGCCAGCTGCCCGGCTCCGGTCATTGGTCAAAACTTGTGTGTGCGGTGTACCACAGACTACCAGTATCAGCGTGCTTCCCAAAGTGCACTGGAAATCTATGCACCAAAATCCCTGGCCAAGATCGATGCGGAGAAAAGTGGGCAAATGCTCCTTCGCTTGGTGTAGCTGTGTAGGTTAACCAGCGCATGCGCGATCGCATGATCTGGAAACTGACTGAAATAAGTGTGCCCTTGCAGGTGCAACAGCGGCACATGGAAACATCTCGTACTTTGTCAGTCACCGTTAAACCGAGCAAAAATATAGGATGTAACAAAGTGCATGCAAACATATCAGCTGTTATTCGGAATCAAGGTCAAAATTGGCTTCACTTCAGATACCTGGCAGAAATTTGTATCTATGCCTGATCAAAAAAGTTACCACGGGCACACCAGATTACATCGTAAATTTGAGGTATATTTATGGGAAACAATAAGAGTGGAAATTTTTACTACGCTTGGAAAATCAACAGGCTTCTCGTATATTGCCCTCGTTTTGTAAAAAAAAACCCGGCAGTTTCTAAGCCTCTGGCATAAAAATTGATCAACAGCATGGTCGGTTCGAAAAAGTTCAAAAACAAAGTTTTAGTCAATCAGGTTAAAACCTGTTCGTCTTACTTAGATGCACCGGTAACTATACTGAGTTGGTTCTGTTCAAAATGGTTTTGTTTTTCGCAACTATTTATTTTTCGTCCTAGTTCATGTTCAGTCAGGTGCACGTTCTTGCAAGCCAACTGCACCCAACTACTAGTATCTTCATCTCAATGAGTGGCCTTCAGCAGGGATGATACATCTTGCCTGCGGGGTGGGGTGCATGGTAGCACACATGTAGGTGAAACATAGCCCTCAAGTCGGCGGCGAAATGTGCCATAAAGCCAAATCAGTTAAAGTACAAGGCACTGAATCCCCTACCTTCATTGGTCATAACACCGGTGTAAAGACGTATACTACTGACGAAATATGCGAGTAGTGTCTGGCCAAGTATCAAAGCCATCTGATGGAAGGTTGGTGCCGAAATAATGAAACCGTTTTGCAGTGTTTGTTCATTATTGTTTATTATTCAAAGAACGTACGGGAAGTTTGTGCGGGAGGCTTGAGAACGTCCACTTTCCAAGAACAGCAAATGAGATCCCCACTTCGGTGTCTAATAGCTTGTAGTCGGGGTTGGTCGACAAAGAACCCCGCATATAACTACTCTCTTCCTTTCACCGGGAGCTTAACCTCACTTTGGCTTGGAGCTTATCAGTAGTGCATCGCCTACACCTGTTTAGTTGAACTCCAAGCGAAGTGAGCATTGCATTACTCTGGCCAAACTCGGATTATCGTATCCGAACGCGTAAGCACGTTCACTCCTCGGTGGCGCTTGAGAAACATGGTTGCAGTCCGTGGAACTTGCAGAGTGTCACCACACCTCGACTACAGCCTGGTTAATTACGAATTGTTTCACCCGTTGTGATCCCAACGCATCCCCCAAGCTCGAGCACTTATCTGATCTGCAAGTCCCATTTTCGCACTGGAGATTCCACGTAACCATCTACATTTGGCGCTCAAGAGCGATCAGTGGCCTTCAAATGAAGTCGAGGCACCGTTGAAACTTTGTATCAAACTGGTTGTTATTTATGACGATTCGAGTCTCTCAGTGAATTTCGCAATCGCATCGCGCCCTTCAGTTATGCTGTCATTATTTACCCAGCCAAGTGATTCATGGTTGAACATCAAACGTAATTCTCTGCTTGTTTGACCACAGAGAACCCGCTCTGAAACCACTGCCGCACGTAACTACGTTCTGTTAAAGGTCGCCAACGCGAGCCGAACTTGGTGGGGAAAACACAACTCAAGGTTGTTGAAAACTCTTGGTACCAAGTGAAGCATGAAGCGGTGTGATGCAACACGATGAGTTGAAGAACATTATAAACGACAGACTCAGCTGGGTCTCCCGTGAAGACCGAATAGGCATGTAAATGAGTGTACTTGTAATATTTCAAATTTGAACTGATAGCTTGCGACGCAGATCGAAGCCGATAATTATAGCTGACAATATACTACTGGTACCTGGTAAGTAGCGCGAACAGCACAAAAACAGAAGTCGAGCAAGCCAGAGCGTTTTGTCTTCTTTCCCAAGCAGATACTGAGAACGGAAAATACCACGGACGCATGACGAAAGGGATTAAAAACTTAGAGAAAGGCCGCAACAAGCTAACTTCCACCTTCCTCTCGGAAACGAGAGGAAAGCTGTTGAAAACATTGAGATAAAGCTGAATATTTCTAGGAAGAAACGCCATAATGGCGATACACTGCCATTTATCCGTATATCCAATTTGGCTGTAGTACAACAGCTGGTCCATCTAGTATTTCCCACACCATCCGGTTCCGCCACCACCCTACGTGAATGTGGTTTACAAACAATTAAAAACATTCCCGAACACTTAACACAGATAAGCTTTGAACTAATGAGACCAAAGTAGGATAACGAAGCAGCATACTATTCACCATTTGGTGTAACGTTATAGCATCGCTTTCGTGCGACTTCTCCCTTTTTGGTTCCCAACTGAACCTACCTAGTTAGTACAAAAGACTCCATCCCAGACGATAAGCGACGAGGACGAATGTCCTCATTTCTACGTATTCACAGTCATCCGGGGCTAAAAAATGAAAAGACACTGGATACACAAGGGAGAAAGACGTGGGAGATGTTTCATATTTCTCAGTCCGCTCAAGAGGACACGTCCTTTGTCAAAGAGAAAGTCTGGCATCATTATCACCGACGTTTCGCTATAGAGGGAGCGACTCTTCAGAAGCTGGATTAAATCGACGGCCGGAGAGTCTGTGGCCTGCAGCGAGTTTCAATATTGAGCGAGGGAATAAAATCTTGGGTTCAGTCATGATGGTGGTTGTCTTTCGAAGTTCCCTACAAGCTGCTTACTGGTATGTAGGTTGTATTTGACTGCGTAAAGGCCACGCGTACTGAATCGTCATGAGAAAATCACTCTGATATTGAAAACGGTGGTTTCATCCAGACTAAAACGCTACCAATAGGCCCGCATACAGTGTACAAGCGACTCTGTAAAAAGGGAACTAAAATTACAAACTTAGCACCCGCGTAGTAAGCGAACAAACTAATTAGTTGGTGAGTTGACTGGACCCCTGAATGTCAACTCATTATTGCTTGATCCAGCTTAGCAAGTCAAAGAATGCACCCTCAATCATGATAAAAGATATTCCCAAGCCGCAGATGATGGGAGCAACTGCTTAACTGGACCACCTAGCTACTGCCCATAGAGTAGAATGACACTGAAATGCAATCAGAATCTTTTATTGTGGTTGTAAAAACACGGGGAAAGCAAGGTTGAGTTAGTACACTGGAAGAATATTCAAGCCACAGTCGGATGGTCACCTGAAATGCAAAAACAACCGATAGTTAGGGGAAATTGAAAAAAAACAAGACAATGGCACAGAAAATAGAGACAAAACGACGCGGCCACTACTGCTACTACTATCGTTTATTTTCGGAGAGCATGGTCACAAACATAGAAGGTGAATGCAAGCGACGAATGCGAAAGGGTAAGAGGAGAATGTGAGATAAAAGAAAGAAACGTCTCATTCGAAGTCATGCCACTATTACTACTACTACTACTAATAATAATAATAATCAGGTTGTATGAGAGATCAATTTTGGGACAGCTACTTATGAAGCGTTCAAGCATTCTATTGTCCAGGGTCCAGGCTCCGCTCCCGTATCGGATGGAAGGTGAAAGTTACAATGGAAATTACCGAACCGCTTTACACTGTTCGTTTACAATTGTTCAAAATTCAAAGAAGGTCCGAGGAAGCTCAAGAAGACGCTGTGAATGCGCATTTTTCAAGAATTCTGTGCAGACGAGATGTTTACCCTCATGGCTAATGGTTTGTAACAACTGAGTTCGTGTTTGGTAATAAATAACTTTGCAGCGAAGGGCTTTTCTCCTTTCGCTGGTATGCGTCCAAGGAATATCAATGTCCATATGACTTACCGGACACATATGCTTTTGGTTCCAACGGGATCTCATTGAACATGAATTCTTGCTGATATTCCTTGAGGAACAAGGTAGATCTGGCTTCATCCATGAACAACGAGTAGACTTTACGCACATCTTCCTTGCTCACTTCATGACCCTGGGGGTAGAATAGATGAAACATGGAGCTCAAAAAGTATTCCAACCCTGGATCTGACAACAGGGGTCTGAAAGTAATTCTGAGCACAGATTTTGAAGGCGCGAAACACACCAAAAATGAATATTTTTATCGATCTCCTCCCATTGCCGAACCAAGTGAAGTCATCGACGGGTGTGTGACCGTGCGGGTCAATTCCCATAGCGAACAAGGACATTGCGTTTTCCGTTGAATAGCATACATCTTTTGTCCGGTGCATGACCAGATAGTATTCGCCACCAATGACCGCGGCGAGATATGCCACCGTACATATATACAGGGTTCACGTTGTTAAATGAACCGAGGAGCACTCCTTCTTCATACACGAGCTGGACCCACAACTAAGGGATTGAAGTGGTATTGTAGGACATATTCCCTTTAAGTTCATCACGCACAAGGCAGACAACGAACAAAGATCACTGCCCAATAAATTCATCGCCAACTGGCATCGAGACAGTAGTCATAATTTGACCACAGTACACCTTATTAGACACAAACGCGAACCGAGACGTTGACCAATGGTGCAATATACGTGCACCCGTGAAAAAATGGACACTACGGTTTTTCTATAGAACTTCTACGAAGAACTATTGCGGTCGATGGGGTCATTTTTGGGTCCCCTGTCTCAAGAGAAGGAGCTGCGTACTCAGTAAGTCAGCAGTGAACCAAAAGCAACAATGTACACGGAGTAGGTGTTACGGTTCTGTCACGCAGCGAGCAAACAATATGATAATGCGGATTGTGGCAATACTCTATCCCCAGCTATGTTGCTTGATCCAGACTCCTAGCACGGCGAATAGTAAGAAGACGAAAACCTCGGACACAAACTTTAATAATCCAACAACACACGATCAACAGGCGCTGCCCGGAGCTTCCGAACCCAAGTCAGTGGAAAGAATGGTATCCTGTACGTGGTCGGATTTAAATTTTCTTGGAGTATCAATAGGCCATTGATTTTTCATAGTTTGACCTTGAAGATGCCAGGAGTTCGCTAGCACACATAAAAACACAGCGTTTTCTGGGTGATATTGATATCCCCAGCAGTAGGCTGCACGTGATATTAACTATATTTCACCGACAGACAGGGTAATTCGCAAAACACTACAGGGTGTAGATTGCTTTCCCTGAAGGATTTGCAACGAACAATCTTCAAGAATCCGCAAAGTTTTCAGCAACCTTATGAGCATCGGATAGGCTAGTTTTTCAAAAGTAGTACAGATCTCTAAAATGCAACAGAGGCTTTTGTAGAGCAACCAGTCTCCGCCAAGGACTGGTCTTTCCAGAGAGGAAGAGCACTGTGAAACAGGATGTAGGACAAGAACAGCCTTGGGTAGCGCAAAAACCGAAACAGTACAGCAAACCCAGCAATGGTCGATAACCGGTGATACAGAAAAATAAATAGAAAAAAATAGAATTAGATGAACTTTATGGTTGTATGGTAGTAGTTGGGGGCGAGATAGCTCAGTGGTTAGAGCGCGAATTTACTGACAAGACCGTGGTTCGGACCCAACATCTGCATCTCGACTTCTCCTGTCTAGGCTTGGGCAACTTGGTAGTAGCCCAGATCTCGTGCTTCCTTCAGGTGGGATGGCAGCTAGCTGTGCACAGATTTAGTTTATATAGTAGTTAAGAATCGGTGTCACTATTCATGTCGCAGTCTCCACTGATGATGATGAGACAGAAAGACCGATCGGAGTACAACAGCTGATCCCAATAAGATGTTGCTGACCTGTGATTTGACACATTCGAACCGTTTTTTTTAACAGTTTGTGATAAAGCAGTTCCGGATGTGTGGGACCAGTCGTTTAAGAAACCTCGGTCAAGTCACAGGTTAAATCTCTCCATGGCTCTGGTTGACAGGTCACAACTTGCGTTTTGTCTCCAGCTGCTGCACTGTGTGAATTCGAACGACGATGAAAAAAACTACGCTTTCTGTCAATACGCACAAGCTAGAGTTATATCGGGGGCCATCCACAGATTGCACAACATATCTTCCAGATTCCTTGATGTTTGAAATTTCCTCGACCTAGGTTAAGTAGAAATAGCGTTGTCGCAAGGGGCTGTATGCAGCCTGAGAACTACGACTCACCAGCAAAGTATTGGCGTCTAAGACAATCACCAAGGGCCAATGTGTTCGGGAAATATTTCGGAGGAAACAGACAGGGGAAAAACTCGTGGGAACAGTCCCGTGTCTGTCTGGTTTTGCAGTTGACTTTCATATCACATCGAGTGAGACAAGGCATACCAGTCTACCACTTGTCAAGGAAACCGATGAACATCGGCGGATTATCGGAAAGCGAGATTGAAGTATTTTCTGGAGATGCCTAACTAAACATAGAAAAGTAAAGACCCACTATTTCGCTGTCTTGTGACTTTCCCGTACTGGAGGTATCATAGTGGCATTATTCTGCTTGAAAGCCCTCTGCTGAATGACAATTTTTATAGTACGACCATACAGCTGTGCACCCTAACGCAAGACATTAGTTGTCCTGCCCGGTGAACTACGACCAGCTCTTTGTAGTACCACAAAATTGGCTTACTTTTTTCCAAATTCTCACTACGAAGCTCCTTTCAAAGGCGCATAAAACGGAAATAACTTTTGCAATGATAAGCCTATATAACCGCAATATGGAACAAAAATACACTTGGGGAAGGGCTCGAACCGCCAGCCACCCGCCTACCGGACGAGTAGTCTACCAGCTGAGCACCAAGAGGTGATTACATAAAATTGTGAACATTTCGCTCACCTTCCGTTTCCTACACACCAAACTGGCTGTTGTGATTAGCTGAATGGCATATCGCAAGGAGGTCTGCATACCGATACGAGTCAATACGATAAGTGCATCTTCTGAGATATCAACATCTTCCTCTTCGCACCGGATTTTCAAAATGGCCTGAATCTCTTTATCTGTGTAAGCACTGGTCGAAATGATGAGAAGTCGATCCAGAAGATCAATAGGAATTCCATGTGGACTGCGGTAGTTAGTTCCGCGAATTCTGAAGGAGAAATTTGGATAGATTTCAGAATGGAGAAGGACAACTGGAACTTGGATGCACTCTGTTACGGTCGAACAGCTGCTGATGGGGTTTGTGTGACCAAACACCTATGACCAGTATAATTCAAAGGAGCACCGCTATGTGGAGAATAGGTTATCACACTGTGGAGTTTTCATTAGATTTTGACTCAAAGAAAACACATCTCATCTATTTTTTCACCATTTGTTAATAAACACCAGATCTGTCAGCTCTTGGTCTCATTTGATAGCTGAAATCGCGCAAATTTGTCGAGAAAATCAGGGAGGGAGGATCGGATTCTCTCAGTTTTCACAGATCACTATGTACAGCACACAATATTCACTAACGGAGGTATGAACGAGGAGATTGGGGACCCTTACCATAACCTGTCCCCAATGAGAAGTCCACTGACATCCCTGTGTTGACGATCAACTATACAAGCTACCGGCTCCAGTGTGTAGCCATCCGGCCCAGCTATTCAAATCATTGGCGAGCAAAACTGTGACAGCTATAGCAACTGTGCGACAAGTATGCGGTGTTTGCGGCTTATGATGATGACTTGTCCTGCTCGATTCTTTCGCTCGTGGGGTGGATTCAGAAGAAAAAAGTGCCTCTTTTGGTACACAGTGAATGGGCTTAAAGAGTTGAAGAGCTTTACTCGATTATTTCACTGTCAGTCAAAACTTCGGTTTTCATTAAGAACAAGAGGAGGTTTGATGGACAAGTCGCTGATGCCGCTTATGAGAACATATCGATTAGCCACGTTGTACCATAATTTCTTGTGTTTGAATGGAACTCAACGCAGGGCATTAGAGTGACGAATCATGAGGTGTTGGTGCTCCCCCGAACGGTAATGTGGGCTGTCTATAATTTGGACAGAATGAAGCACCACTCAGCCCTGTGGCAAATTCAAAATACATTATGGAGATAGAATCTGAAGTAAGCAGGAATAAACAAAATTTAATGAGACATATGACCTCACCTTGTGATTCCACGATTTGTAGCTACAATGAGGACTGGTGCCATTTCCGATTCGAGAGCTCGGTTGAGGAAGGAAAAGCACTCAATATCTAACATGTGGACCTCGTCGATGAACAAAACCTGTGTGGAGAATGGGTGTAAAAATAGTCCAGCATTAGAACTTTGGAAAAGGGAGAGGTAGTACTGATTCGGTCAGGCGACCAACCATACTACAGTAGAACAACAAGATGAGGAATGAAGTCAACCAACTTCAAGGAGATTGAACGTCGTCCACCTCGCTGTGCTACAGCATCGGCGCCACATCTCGCGACCTAAACTGGCTGGAATTCAATTCCCCAAGGTGCAACCAATCCAGGAAAGCCGATGACACATACAATATACCAGTTCGGTCATACACCTCAAAATGCTTAAATTCCTCGCACTTTCCGCTTCAGGTGTCTGATGATCTTGATGCAATGGCACGTGGGAAATGTGTTTACCCCTACGGCTAAATGGGCTTCACTGGACTGGACTGCAGTAGACAATCGTCTCCGAGCTGTCAAGTTGACTGGTTCAATCAAGACCAAGAAATTTTGAGGCGGCAAACAGTCTCTGTTTGTTGAGTCAGCATACGCTCCGACAAACCGCGGGTGTGAGGCTGAGGAAGACAGTGTCCATCGTGATTTGTCACGAATGCTCTGGTCAGCGAGGGTACAGGTCGGCCAACTCGGGTTGCCGCACAGATAATGGGAAACAGCTCCTTCAATTGTATACTAAACAACACTTGTTTCTGGCCGGCACAAACTTTTAGTACAAGCGCTCACACTGCGTGACTTGAAGGCCACCAACTGCAAGCCAGTCGAGGACTCAATCGGACCAGGGGACAATCAGCTACCGGTGGACATCTTCGATAACAGAATACAGTTCACTCATGAGTACAGCAATGGATTCCGATCACGGCATAGCGTGGGTACGCTTATCTATTCGCTTTCCCTCGGGAACACGTTAGCTGATGCAGTTGACCACCCGCGAAACGTCTCTGTAGCCCAACAGTATCGCGTTGAGTTGGCCGAGAAGCCTCCTGAACTCCACTGGTACGACGGCCGTATTAACGGCTTAGATAGTCATTGGAGAAAGGTGGAAGAAACCATGCTCACAGCCTTTGAAACCGTCTGCCCGAGTTTGCTCGCACAGTGTGGGAGCCAGTGGCGCTCTTGCACCAAAGCTCTCACATTTAATGCGTGGCTATCACCTCCTACCTTACTGGACAAACATACATTTGTCGATGATACAAGGACTGAGCCACTGCAGCCAACACGTGCTCTCATTCTCCTCCTCCGTAGTGAACGAAGATGCAGCAGCTCAGCGAAAGTTCCTGAGCTGACTGACTGAAAGAAGGTCGTCGTCCAGGAAGCAATGCGATCAACACTGGAATGCGTGTAAATGGCTCCCGGATGCAAAAAGCGTGCACTGAAAACACCCAGTAGGATGGGCTCACGACGTTTACCAAGCGCTCACCGCTCACGTCATCGAAGGGCAAACCACCGAAGACTGTGACACGCTGCATCACGCGAATCAACAGCAAATGTAATGCAGTAAACGGTGGTCAGAAGATCTTGTAGTCATGGACTAGATCAACTACCTGTTGAAGTTCTTCATAGCTGGTCGGATGCGAATGCGATAACCCTCAGCGCATGATCTACGAGACAGGCGCCGCTACTCCCGGGGATATTGGCTGTGATGACACGAGACCGCTAGTGCAGCGGTTACCAAAGGCGATCGATATACCCAAAAATCCATATTTGTCAACTGCACCACTGTTCCGTAGCAAGCTTCCAATAATGGGTTTTGAAAGATCGAAGCTGTGGTTTGGAAGAGCAAGCGATGTTTAACCGGTATTCATGGAAACATCGTAATATAATGGACTGAACTGCAACATCCAGAAGGTTCCGGACGCCCCAAAGCCACAACAAAGTAGATCAATGTCGTTGAGGCACCTCGATTGAATAGTGGTCACCTTAGCAACTGGGATACCAATGAGTAGATTGTTTAACGGGGACGTAACATGACGAGTTGAATCGCTTAACAGAAACACGTTAGGTATTAACCTGAGTTAGTAACGTTGACAAACAAGGCTGCTTTAGGCAGCCAACGGCGGCCTTGCATCAAAGCAATCGCCTTTACTGATATACCGGACAAACAGAACCATTCAGAGTCAAGTTTTAGGAGCTGAAACGGTGCAGAGTTTGTGCGCTGGAACACGTGTGGCAAAGTTTTCCTTGAAAGCAATCAACTGGCATCTCCGGTCTAACTACCGGCGCTTTGCGGTCAAGCTTTTGAAACACAGGCTTTGGATGGGGACCCTAACCGTCCTCCTGTCTGGGTGTGGGCGCGCTGAGTATCGCAATGACTTCTACCATTAAAAATACTGCCATCTCACACCGTTAGTTATGTGGGGTCATCAGACGAGCCATCTTGCATGCTGCATACACTGGGGAAAGTAAAAAACCGAACCGTTCAGCTGTGACACCGTTCGTTGTACAGCTGCCATGTCCCCGGAAGGAAGCATGAGGGCTGACATACTGTCGGGTCACCCAAGCCTAGACAGGAGATGTCGAGAGGCAGACGTCCGGGTTCCAACCACGGACCTTCCGGTTAGTAAATTCGCGCTCTAACCACTCAGCCGTTTCGGTAGGAAGGGTAAAAGAGGACAACCGCTTACACTTTCACATACTCGAGCTTATACCTTACCACCATAGTTCCATGTGAATGCTGTCTCTTCAGGTCCAACTACCAGGGTTGACCGCTTTGTTCGCCTTAGTTGAAGATTCTTTGCGACCAATTTAACTAACGGCCCCAAACACCCAGAAGGCTGTTTTGGAATCCCAAAAGCAGGTCTAATTAGATGGCTTTATTATTCAAGCACTGAAGCAAGCAGGATGGAAACAGCTCCTGACTGTAAGCTGGATTCTCTCTGCATTGATGTATGCTGTCGGATACCCGGAATAAGGACGCAAGTGCTGTAATTGGTTTGACTACTATCTAACTCTCCTCCACCTCTGTTGATGCTGAGGGCGGTGGGGTAATGTGTTGAGCCACCGAGCACAGGCGTCTTTACTTGACGGGACACTCGTTAATTGTTGTTTCCGCGCGGTTCGCTTGGCAGTCTGGGAAAATCTCAATAAAGAGCAGTCCTTCACTCCCTGCTCATTGTGTCTGCTTACACCCCGAAGCACCGTAGCCGTAAATATACAAAAGAACTTTTCATGATGCTCTGGAGTCCAAAAAACCCCACTGCCTGCGGCATTACGGGTCCGAATTTTGAGCCCGGGGCTCGAGTTGGGGTACCGCAACCAAAAGTAATTCTCCGGCCTTGATAGCCGGGAAGCATCATTTGCTCTCACAGTCCTTTGTCCGCCGATGTCTCTCCTCAAACTGTCCCCACACAGGCGAACGTTGCTGGGTCAGGTGATTATCAATTATCCAGTCGATACATCTTATACACCCCGCTGCAAACTAACAGTGAACAGATAACACTGCTAAATCCACAAGATGATTCCCATATAGGAATCTCCAAAGTTTGTAATATACGGCAAATTGTCAAGCAGCTAATCCATTCCCTTAAAATTGATGTATTCTGTCTAAAGCGTGGCTACGCATATTAAAACTCCAAGGGCGAACTGTTTTCCGGATTTCACTCTCCGGTGTCCAGTGACCAGAATCGATGGTTCACGGAATCTATGGCGTGGGAGTCGCACACAACCCCAGAGCTGAGCGCGCTTCGCTGCGTTAGATCACAGTGAACAGTCGCTTTTTGCGCTTTTCGGTTATCCAGATCAATCGAGCTTGTTGCTACTTGACATGAATCCGATACCTGATTGTAGTGCCAAGAGTGCCCCAATGGACTCCAGATCTGTTTGTGTGCTGAACCTGACCAGGTGTTTCTGGACAGCATAAATTTTTAACATGAACGCTCCCATGGCGTAACCTGGCGGTCACCAAATGCAAATCAAATGTGGATCCAGCAGTCGCCGGTGCAGAGCATTAATTCAAGACTGCTGTTCCTTCTGGGACACCATAATGCGAGAACGCCTGGCAATGCAGTTTTCTTCTGCACTTCGCACGGCAGTAAGGAGCGTTCAAAACCACCATGTCTTGAGTATTACTACTGCTCAACTATATTGACCTGAGCTGGCTCAGTGGTTAAAGTGCGAATTTACTGACCGAGTGGTCCGCGGTTTGAACTCGACCTCTGCCCCTCGTCTTCCCCTGTCTAGGCATGAACGGCCTGGCGGTATCCCGGCCCTTGTGCCTCCTTCTAATGGCATGGCAGTTAGACACCGAAAGGATGCAAAAGCTAACGATTTTTTTATGTAGTAAACCAACACTGTGCTTGTAGCGATCATGTGGAAGAAGAAGCGTTCAGCTGCAGCACCCTTCCGGTGCCTAGCTGTCATGACATCCGAAGGTTGCCCAAGGCTAGACAGAGGAAGTCGAGTGGCGGAGGTCGGATTCGAACCGCGGACATTCCGGTCAGTAAATTTACGCTCTAACCACTTGGGCCATCTCGCCCATCATATGGATGAAGCATGGAAAGATCTAAGGGGAGCTATGACAGTGGCATCTTGTACTGTCTGTGTCACTTCTCCGACACGATCAAACGCCCACTGGATATCACGCGCGCCATCAGTAGTTTGTTGCTGGTATAACCGGGGGCTGTTGATTGTGACGAGATCCAGTGTTCATTTGGATGCGGAAGCAACTATGGGTCATCTGGTACAGACGACTGAGGGGATCAGTATATGGCTCGACAACGAAGTATGGAAGGGCTCAGCGGTCATAAAAGTTGACAACTGCTGCGCCCCCGGATGAGGGACAGGCAGGCACTGACTAAGAAACCCATCACCATCCCTGAACAGAGCAAGTAGAAGGCCGTTAGTGTCAGGAACACGATGACGCTTCGGCACAGATATACACTTGGTGTCTTCCGAGGTTGAAGGTCAGGATACCGGACTGGAGGTGGAAGCTGTCCAATACCATCACTGAATTTTTTTTCATCCTTCTGTAATCTCCACTCCTAGCAGCAGGCTGAAACGAGTGATCACTATATCGATTTCTTCCTTTGGGTTAGGCAAAGGAAGGAAAGGCTCAGAAAACGTAGAACACCTCTGGTCTCGACCTTCAGCCCGATCTAAAGCTGCCACCTTGACATGGTGGTCGGGCTTGAGTGCTACAATGGTCCAGATGGTTACACTGGCTGGTACGTCGTTCAACCATTCCAAGAAGGCCAAAAGCGAGCAGTCAGACCAGGAGCGGCGAGACCCCGTTCTACGAATAATCGTGCTACGAGGCGGTCTGGGGGTAAAGTCGTGCTGTCTTCTGCGGCAGGAGGGTGAAAGCAGTAAGGTGTCTTCCCCAGGTGACCATCATATCCATATTTATGGAAGCAGTGATGCTGCCTTCCCCCGGGGAAGGACGGGTTAGAAAAGATCGACCCCAAAAACCGCACACTCCGATCGCCCAACGGTTGACCGTGACCGCCGGCGCATTATAACCCTATGTCCTCCCACTGCCTTGGTGGTCAGACTTTTGAGTCAAATGCTCAGGGTGGGGTAACTCAACCAAACCCCCTTCGTCGGGCAACCGGGAAGTATCATTTGCCCGCGCAGTTCAGCGTCCACCGATGTCCCTCCGCAACCATTTCCCACCGCACAAACAAACGTCGCTGGGTCAGTCGTCTGACCGAAGGGGCCTTAGGCTCCTCGCTGCCTCGACCTTGAGAATGGTCTAAATCACAAGGTAAAGTCTTTGATGAGGAGGAATAACCTGAGCTAGCACCCCATTTACAACGGACGGCCGGTGGATCACGGAAAAGCAGGATCGATGGGAGTTTGCGAGTATCTCTTGCTGAATACCCTGGGGCACTCTTCTCACAGTTGAGATATAGAAGTATTCTGCTTGTTAACAGACCGTCCGGAAACCTGGCCAGTCAAACCAATATTCAAAGGGTGGTACGGTTGAAGAAATCATTCAACTGCGACACTTTAGGCACATAATTGCTATGTCCGCCGAGAAGAGCACTGCGAATGGGATATTAACAGACCGCCCTACCTCAAACTGGATCGGTCGAGGTGTGTGTGTGTGGGGGGGGGTTGGGTTCGAACCAAACACGGTCGGTAGGTTCGTGCTCTAATCACTCAGCTACCTGGAGTTCAGGGTGTAGTAGGACGTAACTAGCGTTGACGTCATTTATATTGGCATTGGGAGTAGCACACCAGGGAAGTATGCTGCTGATACGGGGTGTATATGCTATTACTGGGATGCATCTCGCATGGGTAACGGTTTTAGAAAGAACAAAGAAGAACAAAGTATATGCCCACAGGTCAGAAATCACTTCCACGGAAAACGGGATGTCCTACAGTTCAGTTCTTTGATCTAACATCAATGTGCAATAATGCGTGCTTGTTCCGGAATGCTTAATATATAACTGATCTTTCGTCGTGGTAGACAACCAAAGACGTAGAGAAATATAGGCTTATCATGCTATCACAATTGAACAGACTTACTCCAGGGACTATTTCTGCCTTCCCTTCCTCTCTCCATTCAGCGACTTTCTGATTTATTTGATCTCGCACTTCCGCCTTGATCTCACCAGTATCACCACTGAAAAGTGCGAGGAATCCTTGGGTTCTACTGTTTATGACATCGATCTCGTGCAAAGTTACAGTATGGACGACTTCTTTCCGCTTTTGCAGTTCACCTTCTGGACACTGAACAAATTTCGTTTGGCCACCAGTAGCGTCGTAATCACGTGCTCTTGTGAACGAACGCCCAAGGCGCGTGATCTTCCCAGATGGCTTGTCAATAGTGATAACATCCCTAACAATAAACATTATTGCGAAAATTACTTACCCAGCCTGAACTTTCTCTTTGGTTAAAGATTCGATCATTTTTTGTCCGAGATCATAAACGGTCTCCATTTCGGTAGTTTTAAGGGTCAACTTCCCAACTTTCGCACCCGTTCCAGTGGCCGGACGATCTATCAAAATCTCAACCACCTCGCCCTCGATAATTTCGGCCTCTTCTCTGCAAGAGTTACAGACAGACATGCATAACTCACTTTATACGGATTCCAATGGATTTTCGGAAGGCCTGTGTGAGGGCCTCTGTTTTCCCCATTTCCAATGAGAAAATTTCGCTCCCGGCCATTGCCGTAAACGGGGTGTCATGTCCCAAAGCCTGAGCCATACCCATAGCGATTGCGGTTTTGCCAGTTCCGGGTGGTCCAGCGATTAAAATAGCCCGTCCAGCAATCTTTCCATCACGAATCATTCCGAGTACAAGACCTGCTGCCCGCCTGGCCTTGCATTGTCCCACCATTCCCTGCGAGATTTGACGAGCTTCTAGATCATCGTTCAACCCCAAACCTCGTATATGGGAATGAGCACCAATACGCTCGATCCGTGTGATCTCGCGAGCGGCTGCCTCCTGCACAGTTGACTCGAGCTGCATGAAAATAGGCCAAAAGAATGAAAAAATCACAACAGTACGACTTTTCATCCATCGAGCATAACAAAATATAGTCAGCAAAGCCCCCCGTTACCAGGACGCGGAACTCACATTCGACATTTCAAAAATGTGACATCGCAACAGTCGCGCAGTAAAACAAATCACTGTTGACTAAGTCTAGGTTGCTCGAAGATATATGAGATAAACGGGATATTTAACTCTAAATGACATCCGCACGTAGGTAATAAGAACGAATTATCCAATTCGATTTACGTTAACTGTATCTCAGTTCGGTCCCGCTTGTCTTTGAACTCGGCGTTCTGCATCCGCTTATTTGTTGTGTCAAGGTGGATGACACGGCCTCTGCCGCCTGAATTTATGGCTAGTAACCAGAGCGTTTGCTGGCAGCCCTTCTACATCAGTACGTGAGAGGTTACGAGCCCTAGCTCCCCCATTTTGTGGACGCGGGATTCTCGAATTACTGTCGAACGACGGTTTTAGCACGAACGACACGCCCCACAGGCCTGCTTCAGTTAAACGCATGAACGTTCATGGAATAATTATCCCAAAGTACTGCCGCCTTGAAGAGCTGTGGCCAAAATCTTAATGTAAGAATTCCCAAGTGTGTTGTACTCAAATCATTTTGTTATATTCACACCTTAATTTCACTTGAGAAAACACTTTTGGGATATCATTGAATGTGACGTCTTATGGAGTGAATTTATGTTCAAATGTATAGTGCGCGCATCCGGAAAAATTGATTTCCACGGGTGCATTTCACTTGCGCGCCATTTTGTTATGGCGGCGCCCAGTATCACGGTGTGGATATGCTTCGCTTTTCCTGTCGTCCCCACGCCATTCCCGGTTTCCAAACATTGATAACCTTCCATTACCCGAATGTTTGCTTCCCATTAATTTGTTGAACATTCGCACCGCGCGTAACTACAGCTAATTGCTTTTACCCGCCCTGCTTCTTAGCGCGAAATGTCGGCTCGTTTCACCTTTGTTCCACCACCCGAAGCCCCCATTTTCCGTCCATCGGATGAAGAATTTAAGGACCCACTGGCTTATCTGATGAAAATACGGAATATAGGCATGAAAACTGGCATATGCAAGATCATCCCACCCAAGGTAAGGCGCCGATGATTTTGAACGTTATTCTTGCGTGTTTTGCTCCCCCATCGTTCCCTGCTGCCACTTGGCTTTGAATCATCTAAACTGCTACCAGGAGAAGAACTTCGTGTTGTTTCTAGAATCCTTGTAAGCTGCCAGAATCAGCAAGTGTTGAACCTTATTTGAACATACTAAGGAGGATGTTTTCTTTATTTGTGCATGGTAGCGGACATGAGTGGTCGTTTTCAATTGGGCGGTTTGAACATACATTAAATAGTTCTGCCCACGAGGCAGTCATGAGTTTTAAATTTTTGTCTGTTCATGTCAGTATCATCCCTTTGTGATATACTACTCATATAAGTAGTGTAATTTTAAAAATAATTTTCCTTTACCCACAGTCATGGAATCCACCGTTTGCAGTGAACATGAAAGAATTTACCTTCACCCCAAGAATACAGCGATTATACGAACTAGAAGTAAGTGGAAAGTTACTCAATACCTACTGAGAAGGCTCAATCACGCATCAAATTGAACTTTCTCAGCCGTCTCTACAAGTATATACGCAGTCAGGTACGTTTTTCTGTTTTACAATAATGGTTACCCCTTAGGGTGGCGACAAAATTCGCGTACCTAGTATTGGGGGCCGTTTCTTGGATCTTCACGCGCTCCATAAAGCTGTGCATGATGCTGGAGGGTATGAAAGGATATGCAGCGACCACAACTGGGCTAGCATAGCTGAAAAGTTGGGTTATGCTGGGCGTGTCGCATCGTCGATAAAAAATAACTACGAGAAACTTTTGCTTGCCTTCGACCGTATTGTAACTTCGAAGGATGACAGTCAGGTGCGTTTTGTCATTGGTTTATTCAATCCAGCTCCAGGCAAAGCGAACGTGCATGGAACGAATACCGAATAAGCGACTCAGAAATACATCATCTCCTGTGAGTACACCTTGTTACTTGCAACTAGTTCTCCAGGAACCAGACAATTTAGATTTATCCATCAACAAGGAGCTCAGGAATCTACGTTTCTTTGGTGCAGGTCCAAAAGCAGCTGTACCACTCACTGGCCTATCCAAAGGTAATTTTGTATCTTGCCTCTCATCTCACTCATCAGTCCGAAAAAATGACACCACTTATCCGGATGTGGATACATACACATGCCGAGCCTGCAACCGTGGGGACGACGAATCTAACCTGCTCGTGTGCGATACAGAAAGTTGCCAAGCTTGTTATCATCTTTATTGCTTATCACCACCACTCCGGGCAATCCCTAATTATCACTGGAAATGTCCGGAATGTGTCCGGTCCTTATGCGTTCAACCTCCTGATCCGTATGGATTTCCGCAGTCAAGCAAGACGTACTCCCTTCACGAATTCGGCGTAATGGCTGACGAGTTCAAATCCAATTATTTCGGCCGGCCATGTTGTGTGAGTCTACCTTGCCTTACCTCTGTTCTTTACCACATCCACGTTCGTCACTCGTGGGAACCTTTTCTTCTGCGTGGAGTAATCTGCTTCTGTAAATTCCTTCCCCGAGATGTTTGTAAATTTAATCTTCGATTTGGTCGAAACCTTTGGCAACACTCAATCTCCCACCGGCAAAATGGGGTATGTCCGAACGTTATCTCCAGCCCTAATGTTCGCCTGCATTTGAAATACCACTGCACCGCTTAAGTTAGTGAAGCCTTGCCGAAAACTCTTCTACTTTCTTTAAAGTTGAATTCTTCCGCTCAGTCTTGCAGTAGCGACGCTCGGCTTCCCTAGTAACAGACCCTACATAAACATCGAAGACCCCCCTTTCGATCGGTATCAAGTTCCCTAGGAAGGCCACAATCCCCATGTCGACCCGGCAAAGATGGCGAGTGAGCAGTTTTGAGGCTTTCTGTATAATGGATGATACGGACACCAGGTTTTGAGTAATCGCTCATCGGAAGCTTCCTTTCGGTGCCTAGCCGCCATGCAACCTGCGGAAAGCACGTGGGACTAACCCTAAACAGGAAAAGCTGAGATGCCGAAGAAAGAGAGAAAGAAGAAGGCGTCCAGCTAGGCACCCTTCCGGTGCCTAGCTGCCGTGCCACCCGAGGGAAGCACGACGGCTGGGATACTGCCAGGTTGCCCAAGCCTAGACAGGGAAAATCGAGAGGCGGAGGTCGGATTCGAACCGCGGACCTTCCGGTCACTAACTTCGCGCTCTAACCACTTGGGCCATCTCGCCCCGAGATGCCGAAGTTGGGACCTCGGCTCTAACCACTGGGCCATCTCGCCCCGAGATGCCGAAGTTGGGACCTCGGACCTTCCGGTTGCTAAGCTCGCGCTTTAACCACCGATCCACTGGGCATCGAAATATCGGGAATAGTCTTGATGATGCTGTTCACTTAGTCTTCTTGCAGATTACAACCTTACCTTGAACGCTCTATCACTGAACCGATTACCGACGCTAGATTCCACGGTTATTCCTTCGAGTATTTCTCCTGAGATGATGTGCACAGGGAGCACAATAGCTCTATCGTGCGTCCCTCGTACTATGGCGTCGGCGACACATTGACTCAGGAACGAGATTCACAAACAAGTTCAGAGGGTGAGCAAGAAGGCATGAAAGCGGGACTGGGCAGGACCGATGTCTTCGCGCTTGACGAGCATTGTTTCGTTTCATTTCCTGATGGACAATTTGTTTCATATCCCATTCCACTACATCTACCATATCCGACGGCCGTTTTACAGGAACCAAGCAGGGCTGTTCTTGTGAAGATTTCGTCCTGTAAGTGAAGCTAATTTATGCTGAAAAGCCGAGAAGCACTGTACAGCTGTTTCATCCTTATTGGGAATCACCAGCAGTGCACATCTCACGAAACTCCGAAGAGTCTCGAACCCGCGACTTCCTGGCTAGTAGTTTGAACACTTAACCGTTCGGCCACGAGTGGCTGATCAGCCGTGTGATTAACTCGCACAGTTCACACTCGGGCTGTTCTTCACTGTGCCCTAAGCTCCAGACAATCATTTTGCGATTAACGGGATATAAAACTGTAAAAAGCACCTCACTGGCGTTAATTAGCAACCATATCTTTCAGACGCCTCTGGCCATTCTGCGGGAGGATCACGCGTTATCCATTCCAGCTAATGCGTCGTATGAAAATTGCCGGGAATTTTTGTAATAACTTTCCATTCCGGCTCATTTGGTTCTTCCAGAGATTGCGCTGCATGAAGCCAGCTGCGCTTTTACTAAAGGGCTCAATCGGTCGCCTAAAGCAGTGGCCCCATGAATAAATTACATTCCGTATTTTCCCAAGTCGGTTCGCTGCCTTATTTCAGCCGATTGATGGAATCAGTGAAGTTGCGGTTGTTGTCCACATCGAAAGCCCGACCTAAAGCTGTCACCTTGACATGGTGGTCGGGCTTGAGTGATACAATGATCCCGTAGGCTACACTGGCTGGGACTTCCTTCCACAAGGTGAAACCATGCCAAGAAGGCCAAAGGGGATCAGCCAGACCAAGAGCAGCGAGACCCCGCACTACGAGTAATCGTGGTACGAGGCGATCTGGGGGTAAAGTCGTACTGTCCTCTGCGAAAGGAGTGTTTAGGCAGTAAGGTGTTTCCCCCATCCGACCAGCATGTCCATATTTATGGAAGCAGCGATACTGCCTTCTCCCGAGGAAGGACGGGTTAGAAAAGGTCGGCCCCAAAAACCGCACACTCCGATCGCCCAACGGTTGACTGTGACCGCCGACGCATTATCCAATATGGTCGAAATACTTTTAAAGCCAAAGAGCCCGGTGCTGCCCAAAAGGCACCTGCTGTGCGCAGCCGCATCAGGAATGAGACAGTAATGCCTTATCTCCTACATTTTCCCACTACCTCGTGGGTCAGACTTTTGAGTCAGAGGCC